TGTGTGAGTGAATGGTGTGTGAGTGTGTGAATGGTGTGTGAGAGTGTGTGAGTGAATGGTGTATGAGTGAGTGTGTGTGTGAATGGTGTATGAGTGAGTGTGTGAGTGAATGGTGTGTGAGAGTGTGTGAGTGAATGGTGTATGAGTGTGTGAGAGTGTATGAATGGCGTATGAGTGAGTGTGTGTGTGAATGGTGTATGAGTGAGTGTGTGTGAGTGAATGGTGTGTGAGAGTGTGTGAGTGAATGGTGTATGAGTGTGTGAATGGTGTATGAGTGTGTGAATGGTGTATGAGTGAGTGTGTGAATGGTGTGTGAGAGTGTGTGAGTGAATGGTGTATGAGTGAGTGTGCGAGTGAATGGTGTATGAGTGAGTGTGTGAGAGTGTGTGAGTGAATGGTGTATGAGTGAGTGTGTGAGTGAATGGTGTATGAGTGTGTGAGTGAATGGTGTGTGAGTGTGTGAGTGTGTGAATGGTGTGTGAGAGTGTGTGAGTGAATGGTGTATGAGTGAGTGTGTGTGTGTGTGAATGGTGTATGAGTGAGTGTGTGTGAGTGAATGGTGTGTGAGAGTGTGTGAGTGAATGGTGTATGAGTGTGTGAGAGTGTATGAATGGCGTATGAGTGAGTGTGTGTGTGTGTGAATGGTGTATGAGTGAGTGTGTGTGAGTGAATGGTGTGTGAGAGTGTGTGAGTGAATGGTGTATGAGTGTGTGAGTGAATGGTGTATGAGTGCGTGAGAGTGTGTGAATGGTGTGCGAGAGTGTGTGAATGGTGTATGAGTGAGTGTATGAGTGAGTGTGTGAATGGTGTGTGAGAGTGTGTGAATGGTGTATGAGTGAGTGTGTGAATGGTGTGTGAGAGTGTGTGAGTGAATGGTGTATGAGTGAGTGTGTGAGAGTGTGAGTGAATGGTGTGTGAGAGTGTGTGAATGGTCTGCGAGAGTGAGTGAATGGTGTATGAGTGTGTGAGAGTGTGAGTGAATGGTGTATGAGTGAGTGTGTGAGAGTGTGTGAATGGTGTGTGAGAGTGTGTGAGTGAATGGTGTATGAGTGAGTGTGCGAGTGTGCGAATGGTGTGTGCAAGTTCGTGTGAATGACGACTGTGTGAGAGTGAATGGTGTGTGATAGTGTGTGAATGGTGTGTGTGAGAGTCTGCGTGCGGAGTGTGGGGGGAGCGGTGGTGTAGTGGTTAGTGCGCTGCACTTCAAACTCGGCCACCTGAGTTCGATTCCTGCTCACGGCTAACAGCAGTGACGATTATCGGAACCGGTCTTTGGGCCTCCCCTGGGTCGACTCAGCCTCAAATGAGTACCTGGTGCAGTGTGTAAAATTATCGCCACTGGGGAGACAAAGGCGGTCGGGCGTGGTCCTGGCAACCCACCCCCTCGTGTGTCCTGCCGGCATTCAGAGGTGCTACTCGCTAACAGCACTTGCCCCAAAAGTCTGTAACAGGCTATAGGGGGTAATCTTTGGAGCTTCCCGATGCCGCGACGGGTGTGATGGTAGCAGCCCCCTTCCTCCAATCTCAGCAACAGCAGGAGAGCGCGGGACGCACCACGGTTAGTCTGCGACGGGGGCAGGTCGCGTGCCGGCGAGGTGAAAGGAAAATCATTGTTTTCATTTGACCAGGTAAGGGGCCCCAGTGAGCTATGTAGCTATTTTTTTAAGAAATGATAACCTGACAAAAGTGGCTTGTCATCAACGTGGCAATGTATAGCAGCCAAATATTCTAAGCGCAGGGTGTCGATTCTAAATCCACACGACCACGGGGACAGACATGCAAACTCCAAATGTACAGGCTTCATGGTCGAGATCCATCCTACGGCCTCCTGTATACAAGGCGAGGGAGTTAACATCTCACCACCGCGGCACCCCTATTTGAAACGGTACTGTGCCTATCGCTGGGACAATTTGGCCTTGACATCACTACCTGGTGGTGTGCTGTGTACACATCAGCACTGGCAAGACAAAGGTGGCCGGGCGTGCGTGGGGTTGTGTAGTCTCGGCGTTGTGAATGATTGACTCTTGTAGAATTCCTCGTGACCACGAGCTATTCTTTAACTCGCCACGGAAAACTAAAGACTAAACTATGTTTACTTTAGTAGGTACGGCCCCCACTGAGCGATGTAGCTCTTTTTCCGAAGCGACCTGGCCATCAGAAATTATAGCTCAACGAAGTGCCTCATCATCATCATGTGGAAATGTATAGCAGCCAAATATTCTATGGAGGGGGAAAACCCGGAGGACCCGGAGAAAAATCCACGCGACCACGGGGAGAGAGAGGCACGCAAACTCCAAATATACAGCAGCAGGTGTTCAGTCGGGATAGAACCCACGATCTCCTGCATACCGGGCGACGGAGTTTAACATCTCGCCACCCCCGTGACGTCTCAACATGGAGCGAGTGAATCCCAAACCTCCAGGGGTGTTTCGCTTCTTTGAGGCGTTGTGGACAAGGTGGGCGAGTTTAGACCACGGTTATCCTCGAATCAAAAGGCGGCCGGCTAAGGGACACAAACGAGGCTCAACAGATTTTACCGGTAGACGCGGTGGCGGAGAGGATTGAATGTGGCGCGATTCGTTCTCGATTAAAAAAAAAAGAAATTCACTTTTATTTTTTCGCTAAAGCAGTTAAAACGAGATCTAAACGAGTGCCACGGCGCCAAGGCGATTCCGCACAACTCACACACAGATTCCACGCAGTTCAGCCAGACAAACCCCACGGTGGGAAAGCACTGCTAGCAAGCACCCATTAACCAGAACCGTTAACCAGAACCGTTAACCAGAGCTGGCGTTTACACACTGCATCAAGCACAGTCTATTCTCATACAGCTCCTGTATGATGGATGTATCAGGGAACGAATTTTTTCACAAGGCGGATGCAAATGGTGATATATAATGCGATCCAGCGAACAAAACTACGTCGCAGCGCGAGTAGGGATAAGCTGTCGTTCGGCTGCCTCGGCGTAGCATCATCATCATCATCGAACAAGGCATTGGAATGCTGCTGGATGCTTCCGAGATGCTACCCACGGCGTCTCAGTCTTTGTTCGGCCTGCGTTACGCATCTCGCGTCACCGCGGACAGTGATTTCACCCCCTACATTATTTATTACAGCGCGGTTTTAACACAACGCGGTGTTCTTCGTGCAAAAGCAACCGTGCCTGCGATGACCCCCGCGCTATAGGAGAACAGACTGTGCTCATTGAAGGCTGCATTCAACCTTGGCGACGGAGACCCAGGCGTTAAACAGATGTCCCCTGGGACCAAGTGCGCCGCGTTGCCCCTTGCGACCGCATCACGGCGTCCAGCGAGAGCGCGTCCATGGCAGGGTCAGGATTTGTTCGTTTCGCGGGCAGGGGCCAGCGAGCCGCTGTCCGCTTGGCGATGGGGCGCGAGGGTTACGGCCCCGAGGGGGGGTGGGTCTGCGTGGACCGTGCGATCACACCAAGACGTTGGCAGAGACGGTAACCAACGGACCGTCGCTGCGGCGCTTACGTGCGGCGCTTCCGCGGCCGTCTGGAACGCTCTTCCTGGCGATACTAGGACGCCGCTGGAGCTGTGTACGCACTTTGAAATCATCTAGATTGACAAACAGGGACGCACGACATTCGTAACTCTCGAGCATCGATTAAAAAAAAAGCGTGATATTTATCCAGGAGAGCCCCACTGAGCCGTAGACTCTTGTTATCGAGAGGGTCCTGCTACAAGCTTACAATGCTGTAGTGTTTTCATAAGGGGGGTGGGGGTTGGAGTACGCAGTGCAATGAGAAGCCCCACAAAAAAAAACAAAGATCCCCCCCGTATAGCCTTAACAGACTGTTGGGGCAAGTGCTGTTACAGAGAGTAGCACCTATGACAGCCGCAACAGCACACGATGGGGTGGGGTTGCCAGCACCACGCCCGGCCGCCTTTGTCTCCCCAGTGGTGATGCTTTTACACACCGCTCCAGGTACTCATTTGAGGCCGAGTCGACCTAGGGGAGGCCCAAGGACCGGTGCAGATAATCGACGCCGGTGTTGGTGGCCGTGAGCGTGAATGGAGCCCGGGTCGCCGGGTTCGTAGCGCAGCGCTAGCAGACACGCCACCGCTTCCCGCACACACGAACGCACGCAAGGGGGAGAGACCGCACGGAGCCCTGACAGACCACAACTCTCAAGGAGGCACGGCACTCTCCGTACCGCGAGTGCCGCGAGGCATGGGGGCCTTCTGCATCTCGTGCCACAAGGCGGACTTTGTACGTGTACGTGACGCGAATCTGCATGTGTGTGTGCGTGCGTATATCTTGTCTAGGGGAAACAAAGGCGGCCGGGTGTGGTGCTGGCCACCCACCCCTGTGAGCCGTGCCGGCCTTCGTAGGCGCTACTCGCCAACAGCACTTGCCCCAACAGTCTGTCAAGGCATAGCTAACCGTGCTAATTGGAGGTGCGATTATGCCTTGTTTTCTGTTTCCCGGTACGCGTGTATCCTGTGTATGACAAAGCCGTGTTTACTGTGTCTGTGTGTACTGTGTGTGTACAGTCCGTTCTCCTGTAACGCCTTGAGTTTCACAAACGCGAACTGGATTAGAACCACTGGTGGAGCCAGTGGGGGGGGGGGGGGGGGGGGGGGTGGGGTGGCACGTGCCCCCCCCAAGGATCATTGGGGTTTATTAGTAATAAATCGGCATTTTGCGACCCCCACTGCCACTGTGTAGCATTTTATTACGTGCCAGGGACTCTATGAGATGATAGGACAAATCTGAGTCCATAATTGGCAATAAGTAACGGCAAAGCGGTTATAAGCGACTCACAGAATTGTGTGCAGTCGCGTATACAGTCCACGACTTCCCTGAAGTCATTCACCTTCAGTGAGCGCGATGCCGATCACTAACGACGCGGTTCGCAATTCGACCCTCGATCGATTGCTGCGCCATCGCCGCATACGCGTCCAATAAGAAGCAAGGGACAAGTCTTTACTTACTAACAACTCCTCTATCCTTTTTCATTGCTGGAGGGGTTGCCACCCCCCCTCCACCCCCCCCCCCCCGACCTGAAAATCCTGGCCCCGCCATTGATGAGAACGCGATGGATGTATCAGAGTGAACAGGTTTTCGATAACGCGGATGCGAATTAAGATATGACGCGATTGAGCCAACGGAACTACGTCGCAGCGCCGTTGTAACAGCTGCCTCGGCGTAGCATTACGACAGACTCTCCGTGCACGCTGCGTGTCTGTACGCGTCCTCTACGTGTCCACGTGCACCGTGTGCGTCTCCGTGCATGCTACGTGTCTGTACGCGTGCCCTGCGTGTCTGTACGCGTGCCCTACGTGTCCACGTGCACCGCGTGGTGTGTGTGTGTGTGTGTGCGCGTGGTGTGTGTGTGTGTGTGTGCGCGCGTCTCTCTAGGCCCCACGAGAGACGAGTCCGTGCTGTGCCAGTGCGCGGTACAGCTCGTGCAGGTAGGTGAACACGCACTTCCAGTCGGGCTCTCCCATGCCCACCAGGTCCTCCACGTCCAGCAGGGGACAGCAGCCCACAAGCCGCCTACACACACACACACAACACAGAGCGCACACAATCGTGTTTCTATTTCCGCGTTGAATGTTCGGGGTTTTTTTTGGGTTAGATCACGTGAATATCAGTGTCGTTAAACCCACCACCACCCGACACAGCAAAGGTTTGTCACTTAAACAAAAACATGCCAATGACTTCCTAGTTCAGCACACCGGTGTGTTGGAGAGTAAACGCACACCATGTTTTGCTTCGCATTAGAGGAAAAAAGACTGTACGTATGTTGAAGATCTCTCGCACCGTACGTGGCCAACCCTGCTAATCGGAGGTGCGGGGGACGGGCAACAAACTCAACACAAAAAGCAGTTCGACAGAAATGAGTTTTCAATCTCGAAGATTTAAAAGTGCATGGCTCCAATTGGCTCCTTATATCGGAAGGAAAATACACAGAGACCCACAGAGACCTAGAAACCTATGTAGAACTATAGAGACCCACAGAAACCCAGAGACTCACTGTGGGGGCTAACGTCCCCCGCCATCACTGAATTGTCGGGGCCGTTGCCCACCGACTCCCCCGTTCCATCCATACCGCTACCTCCCCGGCTGCTCTGTCAGGTCCAGACTACCAACCCCTAATGCCTCGCCCCCCTGTACCTCTGCCTGGGATGTCGACCGCGTTTGCGTAGCTTAATTAGCGGCTCGTGCGCTTTGCGCTCGCGATGCGCTACCCTGTTCAACGGCGGCGTGTCGCGGTGAGCGCGCTCGCAAAGTAAAACCCCGTCCCGCACGGGAATCAACAGGCGCGGCGCGCCCCCGTGGGATTCCCTCCCACCCACGCTCCACGCGCTTAAGCAAAAACAACCACGCCGCAATTACTTTGCTCCGATTTAACGGGCTGTTTACACAGCTGCGTATTCGCACACGCCAGGCGCTTAATTCGCTATTAGACAATCGCGCGAGTGCGCGACCACCACCCCGCCACACAGGCGCGCGAGCGCAAAGCGCTACTGTAGGCTATTGCTACTGTAGGCTATTGCGCAGGTACACGAGCGCTGGGCACCACCGAAGATATTCGTGTAGGTACGCGCGCGCTGAACAATACTGTAAACGATCGTACAGGTACCGGCACTAAGCACATTCTACTCCCTTATTCGCTGCAAACAGCCGCGTATGCGCGCGAACACAAAACACTCTGTACACACTCGTACCGGTATGCGAACACCAAACACTCCGTCTCCCTCCTCGCACTCACAGTGACCACGACACAGCTTTATCCTATCAGTGGTTCTATTCCCCGCGAGTATCGAACTAGACTGTGTGTGTCAGCACGGACCAGCAGGACAGGTCTAACCTATCTCGCTACTGCCTGATACTTAATGGACCTGTCTGCCCTCTATTTTCTCTCCGAATTTCGTCCCTTTGTCTTACCTCTCTCCCTCGTACTTACGGTCCGACCTCGCAGCGATGGAGGTCGCGGATAGATGATGCTGTAAACAGAATCTGGCTGTTCTCTGCCCCGTCTCACGGACGTGCGAGTAACAGTCAGGTGACGGCTCCCCGATCCCTCCCTCCTGTTGATCTCCAGTCAAATAAAAAAATGGTCCCTTGCTTCAACAAAGCGTCCCTTTTTATGCTCCTTTCAAAGCCCTCGCAGCGCCCATCCGCGGTGCATCACGGGTCAGGCCGTTAATCCGCAGTGCATCATGGGTAGGGCCGTTAATCCGCGGTGCATCATGGGTAGAGACGCTAGCCCGCGGTGCACCATGGGTAGAGACGCTTAACCCACGCTGCCCCTCTCCCCACCTGTCTCCTGGTCCGTGTGTGTCTTGAGCATCTCCTCACTGCGGTTCTCAGTGAGTTCGCCGTGGTCATTTAATTCTAAGTTAAGCCACGGCGCCGCAGTGCCATTTGGCCTGGGGGGGGGGGGGTTGCCTGCCAATTCCCTGACCCTGAGAAACCGTGGAGCACCCCCACGAGGGGGGCTCTCGGGTAAAAACTCAGGGCAGGTGTCCCCCTCCCCATGAGGCCCTACGTGAGTGTGTGTGTGTGTTTAGGTGGGGGGGGGGGTGGCGGGGGAAGTGCTGTGACGGGAGCCGGGTGGCTTCTCGGACGCAGCAGCACAGCGACGGCTCCGGTTTCGACGGAGCGGCTTCGCTGTTGTGGCACCACACCACTCATATGTATCTATGTAACCGCAATAATTGGAGTTGCGGTGGGCGGTAGTGTGGGGTGGTGTGTGGTGGTGGTGGTGTGTGGTGGGGTGTGGTGTGGGGTGGTGGTGGGGGTTGGTGGGGTGGTGGGCCCACGCACTCGGCGGTGGAGAAGGCGAGCGTGAAGTTGTGACGGCGGTCGTGCGGCTCCAGGCGGGAGAAGTCGAACTCGTCAGGAAAGAAGTTGTGCACGAGGGCGCAGAAGGCGAGGCCGTCGCTCCAGCTGCTCGAGAGGTCACGCACGTCCACGTGCTGCACGCACGCACACGCATACGCGCACACACACGCACGTCCACGCGCTACATGCACGTCCACGCGCTACACGCCCGCACGTCCACGCACACACGCAGTCCACGCACGTCCACACACACACATGCTTGTCCACGCAGTCCACGCACGTCCACACACACACACGCATGTCCACGCAGTCCACACACACACGCATGTCCACGCAGTCCACACACGTCCAGACACACACACGCATGTCCACGCAGTCCATGCACACACACGCAGTCCACACAGTCCACGCACGTCCACACACACACACACATGTCCACGGAGTCCACACACACACGCATGTCCATGTACGTCCACGCACGTCCACACACACGCACACGGCAGGATGCTGCTGGATGCTTCTAGACGCTATCCACGGCGCCTCAGTCTTTGTTCAGCCTGCGTTACGCATCTAACGTGTTATGGCGGACTGTGCTTTACCCCCTATATTTTATATTATTTATTACAACACGATTTTTACGTGACGCAGTGTTCTTCAGGAACGCAACGACTACCACCACGTTACAGGAGAACAGACTGTGTTTGGTTCGATTCCCGACTCTGCGGGTGCCTTTCTGCGTGGAGTTTGCCTTCTGTTCTCCTCCCCGTGTTCTGCGTCGGCTTCCCTCCCATACTCTTCGGTTCTTCCGGTAAAGTCAAATTAAACAAATTAAATCACGTGACGTTTCGGGCGCAACACAAGCGTCTGTCATCAGGTGGGACAACCACAGCAAGAGACAATTGCTGAAGTGGGCAAAGCGGTTTTATTTTATACCTACGTCACTTTACCGAAAGAACCAAAGAGTATGGATCCCTGCAGTCACGAAAACTTCAAATCTAGATTTTTCCCTCCCATGGCCAAAAGCCACCACACAATGCAAACTGGTCCTGGGGCAAAATATCCCGGTGCTGATGAATAAATATCTGCAAATTGCAAAGTTGGGATGAAACGCAGCGGCAAGCATCGCCCCCCCCTTACTCGCAGCCGACTATTCTCTCGGTGCTAAATTATTGTAATCGCAACTAAACAAAAACAATTTTGAGACCACTGAGCTACGTACCTACATTTTCTAGGTAGATGTCGGAGTTAACCCACATTTTATCCCACCGATTGTCAATTTGTGGTGTACACGGTTGTACCGCTGGCGGTGGAAATTTGAGAAACATCATCCAGTGTTCGACTGCTTTTGCTGCTCAAGGAAGAAATTGAAGCCATGATTCCAAAGTCCGTTCTGCAAACCACTACTGCATAAACCACTACCGGATAAATCATCACAACACAAACCACCACAGCACAAATCAAGACAGCTAAATCCACTCCACTACAGCACAAATATCCCCCATAAAGCCTTCACCAGACTGTTGGTGTAAGTGCTGCTAGCGGGCACCTATAAAGGCCGGCACGGCACACAAGGGGTTAGGTGGCCAACACTACGACCCGGCCGCCTTTGTCTCCCCAGTGGCGATGTTCACACACCACACCAGGTACTCATTTGAGGCTGAGTCGCCCAAGGGGAGGCCCAGGACCGATTCAGATAATCGTCACTGGTGTTGGCCCCGAGCGGGAATCTAACTTGGGTTGCCGGGTTCATAGCAAAGCGCTACACTACCGCTCCTCAATTCGTGACACATGGTGTGACACAAAAGACAAAGTTAGCCTTTACAAACTGTTGGGTCAAGTGTTGTTAGTGAGCACCTATGAAGATGGTGTGACACACACCCGCACAGTGTGACACACACACTTGGTGTGACACGCGCGCAAGCGGTGTGACAGACACACACACACGCAGTGTGACATGCACACACACACGCGGTGTGACATGCACACACACGCGATGTCACATGCACACACACGCGGTGTGACATGCACACACACACACACGCGGTGTGACATGCGCACACACACACACACGCGGTGTGACATGCACACACTCACGGTGTGACAGACACACACAAGCGGTGTGACAGACACACACACAGACGTGGTGTGACACTCACACACGCGGTGTGACAGACACACACACACACACACGCGGTGTGACACACACACACACGCGCCGTGTGACACGCACACACTCGTACCTTGTAGCCACGCGTCTTGGAGCGGCACCATTCCAGCAGCCGCTGCTTCGCCTTCCCCACGCCGCCAACGCCGGCGGCCCCCCCGCCGCCTCCCGGAGTCCGTGGAGCCGGAGTTCCCTGCCTGGGGTCGCGCGCAAACAGCACACGGACCACCCCACGGCTCAGCCTCACGCACACCGGCGGGGGCGGGGGGCTCACAATGGACCCTGCCAGACACTCCAAGTCGGCTCCGCTGAGCTCCTGCATGTGGCCACCTGGCTCAGAGGCACAGCCGGGGATACCTGGACCTCCTTCATAAGGTGGCGAGATGTTGGCTGCCTCGCCCGATACGCCGGAGGCCGCGAGTCTGGATCCGACACCGACGCCTGCTGCATACCTGGAGTTTGCGGTGTGTGTCTCTCTTCCCGTGGTCGCGTGGATTTTTCTCCACGCGACCACGGGGAGCTACGTCGCTCTTCTTTCAGAGGCGAACAACTCCCAGCCACCGTGGCGACCGTGACAGCCGAGCGTGACGACTGCGGCGCCGCCCTCCGCGTTGGCTCCCTTAACCTACGGGGGGTGGGGGAGGGAGCCGCTCTCACCACGCGCTCCGCCCTCCCAGCTTCTCCACCAGCGCCAACCGCGCCTGGCCTCCCGCGGGGGTCGCGACCTTCGGGGTCGCGAGGTCGCGCGACGGCCCAGCTCGCCGGGGGGTCTCATCCTCGCGGTCAAACACACTGTGGGGGGGGGGGGGGGGGCAGAGGGGGCGAGGTGAAGGTGAGTATGCCCATGGTAGCTCGAGAGTCAAATAAATCAGAACTGAGGCATTGGTGCTCTCATCTCTCATAGGGGCGCCATGGTGGCGAGATATATGCATGTGCTTGAACTTCTTTTGCACCGTATGTAGCCAACCGTGCTAATCGGAGATGTAACTGCCTCGTCCGGTATACAGGAGGCCGGGGGTTCGAACCCGACCCTGACGATGCCGATATATTTGGAGTTTGAATGTTTCTCTCTCCTCGTGGTCTCGTGGACTTTTCTCCTGGTCCTCTGGTTTCATTCCCCTCCACATTTAGAATCGACATCACGTGTTTGGAGTATTTGACTGCGATAAAATTTAACACGATAACCAACTTCGCTATATAACTCAGTGGGCCTTATTTGCTCAAATTAAACATAGTTTAGTTTTCCTGACTTGCCCACGCAGTGGTACTCATTTTATAGACCCGCCACCCCACCTTAGCCACGCATCATCATCATCACCTGCCGATCTTCTTCGCACCGGACCGTTCACCCAGAGTCGATGGTTTGGTAGTGGAGGTCGCGGTGGAGGTCGCGTTGGAGGCCGCGGTAGAGGCGATGACGCCTGAAACAATCGGAGGCAGGTGCAGTGAGAAGACTGACGGCCAACCCCCTCCTCTGAAACGAAGGTGACGCTACGGGCTACGCTACGGCACCTGGCTGGTGACGGCACAATCACACCGGTGTCACGCGCAAATGCAGTCAATCTTCCGCCCATCGCAGGGGCTTTTCCCATCGCGGAGTTGACCATTCCCGACAATTTCATTTAGGCACAGTTTTATGTAGAGCAGGGGTGGGGAACGTCCGGCCCTGCCAAGGCAACCGCAGGCGGGACTCGAAATTCAATAAATCTAGGAGCATCACACGCCTCACCAAAGAGAAGCAGTTCCATCCATCACATTAGGGGTAAGTTAATGAAATGTTTGGCCAAATATGACGTGCTAATTTTTAAGTTGATAATTTTGTATGGCCCGCAAATTATGTTATAAATATACAAAAGGCCCTTGGCAGAAAAAAATGGAGTGTCATATTACGAACCGTGAACCAAACCCTATTTTTCCCATTTGTCTTTGAGTTTGTGGATGCCACGAATAGGTGTGGAGCAGACAGGTGGGTGTGGAGACACGGGCTGGTGTGGACGAGACACGGTCTGGTGTAAAAGAAACACGGGCATTATCCCCACAAAAACAAGGCATCTCAATGTGGATTTTATGTCATCAATTACTGCACCCCCTCAACTCCCCATGAGTGATGGAGTGCAGCTGTGGAGAGAGTTGAGGAGTTCCAATACCCAGGTAGTGTGCTTATGACAAGTTCCGAATTGGCAGCAGAGGTCTCCGAATCAGCCGAGTAGAAATTTTCATCGGCTGTGTAACGCCTTGGGGAAGCTACCTGCCTGTCGCTGCATACGAAGTGCCGGGTTCTTCTCGGCCACAGTCATGCTATCCCTTCTTTATGCTTGAAAAACGTGGACCCCTTTTAAAGGAACATCTGCGCCGGTTCAGGCTGGCCTGCAATACATTCCATCCTGGCTTTAACACCAGGCTGGATTGTGTGAGCTCACAGATCCTTGAAAGATCTGGGCACAGTCCTCTGGCAGGCAAGGCTGCATTAGCTGGGTCATGCAGTCTGCATGCCCAGACAGTGCATGTCAAAGCAGCTTCTGTTTGGCCTGACAGAGGGGGCTAAATGGGCATAGCACGGCCTAGAGAAGAGATTGTCTGACGTGGTTCAGGAGGATATGGAGCTGAGTGGACTTGCTGAAGCCTGGTATCAGCGGCGTCAAGATCAGCCTCCATGGGGGAAGCTCGTGAAGGACGCTACTGGTAAGTTGGGAGGCAGTCGCCCTCCAACAACAACTGAGGGCAGGAGGAGTGACGCTCACAACAACGAGCAGAGCTCAGGGGGGCTAAAACGCAGCGAGTTGGCAAAGTGGGGAGACCAGGTGGCGCATGTCAGCCATCACAGGCAGTTAACCCACAACACCTGAGTCTGTCCCATGACCTCTTGTCAGCGATCCTTCGACACTGGACATGGTCTGAAATTGCACCTCGCCTGGCACAAGGGCAGTGAAGACATCATCGCCACCAAGTTGCAAATGGCTGGCGTTGCGTTTGTGTGGCTGTTTGCATCCGAGTGACGGTGATTGGGTAAATGTGCGAGTGACCGGAAGTGATTGTGTGTCCGCGTGAATGTGAGTGATTGTGCGTCTTTGTTTAAGTGTCTGTGTGTCTGTTTGTGTGAGCGATTGAGTAACTGCGATTGGGCGAGTGGGCGAGTGGCTGTGCATTGCAGATGCACCTGCTGCAGGTGTGCGTAGGGGCTGTGCAGAGGAGACTTGGGGTGTCGAGGCGACACGGGCGGGTGCACAGGAGACACGGGCGGGTGTGGAGAAGACACGGGCGGGTGTGCAGGAGACACGGGCGGGTGTGGAGAAGACACGGGCGGGTGCACAGGAGACACGGGCGGGTGTGCAGGAGACACGGGCGGGTGTGGAGAAGACACGGGCGGGTGTGCAGGAGACACGGGCGGGTGTGGAGAAGACACGTGCGGGTGTAGAGGAGACACGGGCGGGTGTGCAGGAGACACGTGCTGGTGTAGAGGAGACACGGGCGGGCGTGGAGGAGACACGGGCTGGTGTGGACGGGACACGTGCTGGTGTGGAGGAGACACGTGTTGGTGTAGAGGAGACACGGGCGGGTGTGGAGGAGACACAGGCTGGTGTGGACGAGACACGGGCTGGTGTGGAGGAGACACAGGCTGGTGTGGACGAGACAGGGGTTGGTGTGGAGGAGACACCGGCAGATGTAGAGGAGACGCTGGGTGCGGCGGAGATGCTGGGTGTGGAGTTGACGCTGGGCGTGGAGAAGGGGAGCAGCCCCGTGTGGGTGCTGTGCAAGGAGCTCCCAGATGCATGGCCAATCAACGTCCCCCGTGTCTCAGCTGCACCACATACACACACATTCACACACGCGTACGCAGTGCAAATGTAAAAGGGTTACAGGTGCAGCCCTGCAATTATTTGTTCACGTTGCTGTCGGGAAAGGTAAGTAATATAGAGGCCCCATGAAGGGTGAAAGGCCTAAGTCTCTCACGCTGGCCACATAATGGAAGTGCCCAGACTTTACTCCATCACACGCGGACATGCCGATTCGACCGCGGTGAACCCATTAACACTGCTGGGTGGTAAGAGGCGGTGGGGGGGGGGAGGGATTTAATAAATAATGCCCATTGTTATTAACTGCCGTGCCGGAAGATCAAATCCAACCGGCGACCTCTGGACTGCAACCCGAGCGTGCCAACCATTAACACCACAGTCGCGTCTAACACGGTGCACGTATCCATTGCAGAGGTTTCTTGGGTTAGATCACGTAGATATAAACGTGTCGTTAAACCTGCCACCACCCGGCACAGCCAGTTAGTAAGGTTCGCGTCAGATGGCACGGCCTTTCCGATTGGTGGAGATGTTCAAAGCATTGCGGGGGAGCTGCCGTTTTGCATCCGGGTGGGAAACGTCTTTGTTATGCTGCAAGTGCAACACAAAAGCCACTGTGTGTCCATTCTTCCACAGTGGAGCAGCATTTGAAACCGTCAACGGTGGCAAGGAGATGTTAACTATCTCGCCCGGTATTTAATAGGAGGTCGTGGGTTCAATCGCAAACCCTAATGCCTGTTGTATATATGGAGTTTGCATGTTCTCCCTGCGGTTACATGGATTTTTCTCCGGGTCCTCCGTTTTTTTTTTCCTCTATTTACAATCAACGTCACACGCGTTTTAGAGTATTTGGCTGCTATGAAAGTGCACATGATGATAAGCCACTTCGTTGAGCTATCATTTGTGAAAAAGAGCTAATACAGCCGAGTGGGGCCTTACCTGGTCAAAATGAAAAATAGATTAATAGTTTTTAAAAATAGTTTAGCTTAGTGAAGTGCATCAGGGCATGCCAGGCGGACTGGTTGCCCCTGGATGGAGGAGGGAAGAGGGTGGAGGGAGGGAAGAGGGAGGAGGAAAGAGGGTGGATGAAAGAGGGTGCTCTGCCTTCGCTGAATAAATCAATAAATGGGACAGGTGCCCCATTCAGGTGATGACTGACCACCTCAACTGCCTGTAAGTGCATCTGGATGGGTACAACACCCATTTAAATGCCAACCTGAAAAACAATGGATCTGCCCGCAGCTGAAATATATATACACCAGGTAAGGCCCCCACTGAGTTAAATAGCTATTTTTCAGAAGCGACGGCCTGCCCACAAATGATAGCTCAACAAAGTGGATTCTCGCGTGGATTTTTATATCAGCCAAATACTCTCGAAACTAAACGATGTTTATTTTACCAGGTAAGGCATCATCGAGCTGTGTAGCTCTTTTTGAGAAGCGACCTGGCCCATCGCAAATGAGAGCTCAACAAAGCGGCTCATCATCATCATCATCATCGCCGTGTGGACATTTATAGCAGCAGCCAAACACTCCAAACCGGGGGTCGGCAACCAAACACAACAAGAGCGGCCAATTTTTGTCGAATTCGGTAAAAAAAGCAACCCCTCAATATTGCAAGAGCCGCCGCAATGCACCGTGGTGAATGCGAGAGGCGGTGGTGGGCCTTCATAATGAACGTCACGAAACAGTCCCTTAGAGAGCCCGCCGCAAGCGGCTCCGGAGCCCGCAGGTTGCTGTACCCCTGCCCATGGTGAACTGGGCCATCTTCCATGGTGAACCGGACTCCCATGGTGAACTTGGGCAACTTCCATGGTGAACCGGACAATCATGGCCAAGAGGTCGGCAAATAAATTCCAAGAGCGGCCATTTTTTTTCCGAATTTCAAGAGCAGTCCCTTAAAGAGCCGCCAGTTGCTGACCGCTGCTCTTAGACACGTGACGTCGATTCTAAATGTGGGGGGGGGGGGGGGGGGGGGGGAGGAAAACGGACCAATGGAACGGCTCGTGGACACACTTCACGCGATCGGCTATTGCACCAAACACAATTCCGAGCTCCTCTTCCACTGTGAAAAAAAATAAAAACGCGTGCCTTGAAATTGACGGGTGCCCTTTTTGCAAGCACGGACATGTGTGCGAAGCCAGATTCAACGCACGTTTGTACGTACGTGTGTTTCTGTGTACGTGTCTAACTTCTTTCGCACCGTATTTAGCCAACCGTGCTAATCGGAGGTGCGATCCATACTTAGGCTTGCACCAAGCCTAAGTACAAGCTGAGATCCGACGTGCAATATCAACCACACCGCCAGATTTTGAGAAGCTGCTGTCGAATGTCCCAAGGGCATGTTCTCTCCGTGGTTGCGTGGATTTGTCTCCGGGTCCTCCCGTTTTTTCCCTCCACATTTATAAACACGCGTTTAGAGTATTTGGCAGCTATAAATTTCCACGTGATGAGCCACTTCGTTGAGCTATCATTTGTGGCCAGGTCACTTGTGACAAAAGAGCTGTAAGGCTGCTCAGTGGGCCTTACCTGGTAAAAAAAATATATATTATTTAGTTTTAACAATCGGATCGACTCCCTGCCCAGAGCCACAGCTCAAACCCCGCAGGATCCCAGAAGCGCTGGCTCGGTGACTCGTGGGGAGCCAGGACCTCCTGCCTCCTCACTGACACACGGGGATCCAGGACCTCCTGGCTCACTAACTCACGGGTAGCCAGGGCTTCCTGCTTCCTCCTGAGCGCTCTCCGCGCCGCTCGGATCAGAAGCCTCTGCTCGCACTCCTGAGTCTGCTCCAGCTGTGAGAGAGGGGGTGGGGGGGGCAACACCACGGCTTTTATAAGAATGCGTTGACGTGGCCTTATAGCGGGAAGCGTACGCAGACTGCGTTTGTCTTGGCTGTGATCGAGTTTGCTTATTGATTCCTTCACGCATGTTGAGCACCCAGTTTACGAGACAATGACTCTTTTTGTCTAATCTACATAGTGTTCAACCACTTCGTGTTTAGTGTTGTTGTCCTTTGCCCACAACTCCAATTAGCAAGGTTGGTACGTATGGTGGTACGAAAGAAGTTCAACACACATACATACACTGCCGGTCACAACCACACACTCACTCATACACAAATCCACTCACTCACTCACCCACCCACACCCTGAACCACTCAGTCACTCATACATACAAACACTCACCCACCAACCAACCCACCCACACATTTACCCACACCCTCAACTACTCACTCCGATTCACTCTACAAACACTCACCCACCCACCCACTCGCTCACACATACCCACCCATACACCCACTCACACATTTACTCACTCCCTCACCCACCAACTCATTCACACTCCACCCATTCACTCCCCGACTCAAAGATGTAGGTCACCTCACGTCTCGTTCCAAGCAGTTGCTCCACGATGGAACTCCCTTCTAGCAGTCTCTTTCCTCCCACACTGAGCTCTTTTACAAAGAGAGCCTTGCTCAAATCTTGAAACAAACTACAGGCGACCCCCGTACCTACGGCCAAATTGGTTCCTGGACGGTCGCAAGTCGAGCCATCGTAAGTTTCCCATAGGCGTAACGTTATACATTGGGGTTCTGTACCTGGAAACCCATTACATACCATAAAAAAATACCTAAATTGGCAACAAAAATTAATGAAAATAACTCTAACAAACATTTATTGTAACTTAACACAACTTTTACAAACATTTCTATTCAGTAAGGCACTTATATTTCCCCTTCTCAGATGTAGCAAAAGGCGAAGAAAAAAAAGCAGCAGCAAAATTTTAAGAAAATTGACAAAAAAGTGAAGGGCGTTGTGAAAAACGCCGCTGCGTTCGCCCTAGGCACAGCTGCAGCTTGACGGGCTGCACTGTGCATACCCAAACGGAAGAGCAGCAAAGCAGCGCCATCAGGCGACGAGTCTGTGCACGCTATGCAATCGACTCGGCATCGGTAGCAGTCGTTAGGCGTTTGTTGCGGCCGCGTGGCGTGTTAAGCCTGTGCTTTGCTACTGTGATAAAATAACTTGGGCAACACGCGTGCACGATATATAAACGAGACTATTTTTATTTCACCAGGTAGGGCTGAGCTATATATATATAGCTCTTTTTGAGAAGCGACCTGGCTATCACAAATTATATCTCAACGAAGTGACTCATCATCAAGGGGGAATCTATAACAGCAGCCAAATTGATCTAAACGCGTGATGTTGATTCTAAACGTGGAGGGAAATACTGGAGGACCCAGAGAAAATTCCACGTCATCACGGGCAGAACACGCAAAGTCCAAATATACAGGGCAACTCGGGTCACCGGGTTCGAAGGGCAGCGCCCTAACCACTTTTCTAACGCTCCCCCATGCACACACGCGCGTGCATATCCCGTGGAATCTACACCACAAATATGGCACAGAGGGCAGCGGTTTGCGCCTCCTCAAAATCCACACAACCACAGGGAGAGAGAGAAACACGCCAACTCAAAATATACAGCAGGCGTCAGGGTCAGGATTGAACCCACGACCTCCTGTATACCAAGCGAGGTAGCTAACATCTCCGAGCCACCATGGCACCACCGTACATATACGTGGGAAGCCAACACTCACCATGGCTGTGAGCGCGTCCTCATCCTCCACCTGGCTCAGTCGAGCCAGCGAGGCTCCTCCCGACTGCTGCTCCTCCGTCCCCGCTCCCCTGGCTCCCGGGGCCCCGCTCCGAGCCGGCGTCGTGTCGCTGCGGGGACCGCGATCCCCATCCCCGCTCCCTCCCCGCCTGCTCCCTCCATTACTGCCCGCTCGGTCCGGCCCGGACCCCACGTTCCCCTCCTCGCGCGACCGGAGGAGACTGTGAGGATCGGCGGACGAGGAGCATCCACTCCCCCCGTCCAACTCCTCCGGCTCCTGCGAGCTTGTGGAGACGGTGGATTCCTCCTCCTGCTGCTGCTGCTGCTGCTTAGCGGTCGAGTGTTCATCCTCCTCCGCTCTCCGTGCCGCACGTTCCTGCGCCCCACGAAACGCCGCGCGTCTCGCAGTCGCGCTCGCCGCCGTGCGCTCCTTCCACGCACGGGCAAACGTGCGCTCCTCCCCTTTGTTAGTCGCGTGTTCCCACTCCCACTCTGTGCCGGAGGCCGCGGGTTCCCCCACTCTCTGGGAGGCCGCGGGTTCCCCCACTCTCTGCGAGGCCGCGGGTTCCTCCACTCTCTGGGAGGCCGTGCGTTCCCCCACTCTCTGGGAGGCCGCGGGTTCCTCCACTCTCTGCGAGGCCGTGCGTTCCACCACTCTCTGCGAGGCCGTGCGTTCTCCCACTCTCTGCGAGGCCGTGCGTTCTCCCACTCTCTTCGAGGCCGCGGGTTCCTCCACTTTCTGCGAGGCCGCGGGTTCCTCCACTCTCTGCGAGGCCGCGGGTTCCTCCACTCTCTGCGAGGCCGTGCGTTCCCCCACTCTCTGCGAGGCCGCGGGTTCCACCACTCTCTGCGAGGCCACGGGTTCCTCCACTCTCTGCGAGGCCGCGGGTTCCTCCACTCTCTGCGAGGCCGCGGGTTCCTCCACTCTCTGCGAGGCCGTGCGTTCCCCCACTCTCTGCGAGGCCGCGGGTTCCACCACTCTCTGCGAGGCCACGGGTTCCTCCACTCTCTGCGAGGCCGCGCGCTGCTCCCGCGTGCTCGTGCGCTCCCTCACCGCACGCGTGAACGTGCGCGCCCCACCGCTCTTGGCGGGCGAGGCCTCCGCGGCGGCGCCGTGTTCCCGCCACGCGGCCCCGGCCGTGCGCTCCTCTTCCTCCTCCGCCCCGTTTGCGAGGGGGGCGGCCGTGGCGGCGCTGCGTTGCCGCCCCGCGCTCGTAGACGCCAGCTCCCGGCCCGCTCTCTCGGCCCACCGCTCCTCCCTCCTGACGAGCGAGGAGGCTGCGCGCTCCTTGGGCGGGCCCGGCGCGGCGTCTCCCATCGCGCCCTGGGCTTTGCCGACGTCGCGACGCGGTGGGGAGGGAGATCCCTGCCGCTGCTGCCGCCGCTGCTCCTGTTGCTGCTCCTGTTGCTGCTCCTGCCGCTGCTCCTGCCGTTGCCGCCGGGACGCGCGATGACCCACGGGCAACACCGGGGTGCCGGTGCTCGGCCAGAGATTCACGCTTAGGGCTTGACACGGAGCCCGCAGGGCGGCGGGCGCGGCGTCGGTGGCGTCACAGAACTGGCGCGCGCGCTCACGTACGGACAGCAGCAGCGGGTGCGGGGTGGAGCCTGCACGAGAGGGGGTGAGGAGGAGGAGGCGGCAGTAGACATGGCTCACGGTCACAGGACAGCAACACCCCCTGGGGGTTTCATGGAAAAATAAATCGCCCGGCCAGGGCCTGCGAAGACGATGGCTACCCTGTGGCAGCCGTCAGAGCGGCACTGCTACGGCAGCGGTGGCCGATGATGCGAGCGATTCAGATTAAGATACTGGGGTTTTTTGGAAGTTCATCAACGCGTTGAATCTTGAAGTTGAAAAAAGTTACATGCGCTACAGCGGCTCACAGTATTGGACGGAACTGCTTTATAGGACGGCGGAGGTTGTGAATACGTCTGCAAATAAATAAAAAATCGGCGGAGGATCTTTTTTCACCAGATTGCAATTATATCTGTAGCAATAATAATAATAATAAACGCAAATTATAAACGCTCGCATACTTCGTGAATCAAATGTAATGTTTGATCGAGAACTCGGAGGTGCGGAGAGCCAGGGCTCAAAGCCCCTCTCTCTTCAGCTCGCTTGAACATGCGAGAGCCTGAACGGGAGCAAACCTGAACATGTGAGACCACGGGGAGAAAGACACGCAAACTCCAAATATGCAGCAGACGTCAGGGTCGGGATCAAACCCATAACCTCCTGTATACCAGGCGAGGTAGTTAACATCTAGCCACCGTGGTGCTTTGCACCACCCCACACGCGAACCGCCCATTACAGATGGAACTCGGTTGTCCCCATTTGTATGGCGGCTGCTGCTGCTGCTGCTGGGTGGAGGACAGAGGCGGCGAAGAGAGGAAGGGATTTGAGAAACTTGTGCCACTGATTCAATCGCCGTGCCGGGAGACGGAGGGGCGCGTGCCTCTGTGCGCACTGCGAAGCATGCAGGCGGACGTGGTGGCCGCTGTCGCGAGAGCTGGCGACGCTGGGTGAGACCGTGGCATCTCAGGGGAGACGGCAGGAAGGGTGTGGTGGGGGTGGTGGTGGTGGGGGTGGTGGTGGTGGGGGTGGTGGTGGTGGGGGTGGTGGTGGTGGGGGTGGTGGTGGTGGGGGTGGTGGTGGTGGTGGAGGTGGTGGGGGTGGTGGTGGTGGGGGTAGTGGTGGTGGGGGTGGTGGTGGTGGGGGTGGAGGTGGTGGGGGTGGTGGTGGGGGGGGTGGTGGGGGTGGTGGTGGTGGTGGTGGTGGTGGGTGTGGTGGTGGTGGTGGGGGGGGACTGGAAGTGCGGCTTCAGTGGCTCCATGCGATCGGCGGAAGAGGAGGAGGAGGAAGGAGGACCGGCGCCACCAGGAACAAGACAAACAAACAGGACGCGGTTTCGGCGCTGTGAACGATCACTCTGGGAGTGCCGTGTGCCCGGCTATATTTAATGCTGTGCAGGGGTTAGCGGCAGGGCAGAGGATCTGCACGTCGATTAGCGGGATGAGATCAAACGACATTGGCAGGAGAACCTATGGCCTTGCGGTAGAATTATAATCTGCAAGCATCTTGGCCACACTAACCGGTGAACTGGTCTGGAGCCTCTCCTAGGTTAACTCAGCCTTCAATGAGTACCCAGTGCAGTGTGTAAACATCAGCACTGAGGAGACAGAGGCGGCCGCGAGTGGCGTTTGCTGGCCACACCACCCCCTTGTTCCCCATGATGGCCTTCAGATGCTCGTGAACAGCACCTGCCCCATTAGAATGTTCAAGGCTATAAGAGACGTTTTGTCTCTGTTCAACAAGGTGCTATATTGTGTGCTGTGCGCGTGCTGTCTCCCTGCTGTACTGTGCTGTGTGTGCCGTGCGTGTGCCGTGCTGTGTCTCCGTGTCGCATCGGCCGCGTACTGTGCGTGTACTGTACGTGTACTGTGCGTGTGCTGTGCCCGTGCTGTGTCCGTGCTGTGTCCGTGCTGTGTCTGTGCGTGTGATGTGTCTGTGTTCGTGCTGTGTCTCCGTGCTGTACCGGTCATGTGTGTGTGTGCTGTACTTGTACTGTGCGTGTGCTGTGCGTGTACTGTGCGTGTACTGTGCGTGTGCTGTGCCCATGCTGTGCGTGTGCTGTGCGTGTACTGTGCGTGTGCTGTGCCCGTGCTGTGCGTGTGCTGTGTCTGTGTTCGTGCTGTACCGGCCATGTGTGTGTGCTGTGCGTGTACTGTGCGTGTGCTGTGCCCATGCTGTGTCTGTGCTGTGCCCGTGCTGTGTCTGTGCTGTGCGTGTGCGCCGTGTGTCCGTGCCGTACCGGCTGTGCTGCGTCGCTGCCCCCGTGCCGGTGTTGCCGAGCTTCCATCTGAGGCGGCGGAGGCGGCGCCGCGTCCCCGCTGGCTCACGGAGCCAGGGGAGGGGGCACAAGGGGAAGGGAATCCGTGGGCGGTGTTACAGAGGCAGAGCACAACAACAACAACAATAAGGGCGGTGGTGGCTAGATGTTAACCACCTCGCCAGGTATGCGGGAGGTCGTGGGTTCAATCTCTACCCTGACGATGCCTGCTGCTGCTGCTGCTGTATATTTGGAGTTTGCGTGTCTCTCTCTCCCTGTGGTCGCGTGGATTTTTATCCCGGGTCCTCCGGTTTTCCCCTCCACAATTAGAATCAACGACACACGTTTACAGTATTTGGCTGCTACTATAAATTTCCACATGATGATGATGATGAGCCACTTCGTTGAGCTATCATCTGTGATCACCTACGTGACTTTACCGAATAGAACCAAAGCGTATAGAGGGAGACTTCTCTGGAGGCAACACGTTGATATCGATAACAGCTTAACACAAAGGGGTTACGGCCACTTCGACCCGACATCCTACGGAGGTATGTCCTCCACACTTGCGTGTCCTCCACACTGGTGGAGTAGCTCACTAAGGCTCCTCCGGCGAGCGGGACCTAGAGAGGATATTCTGACCCCGACCCAGCCAAGGTCCTCGGGTCCGGCCCCGGCTCCAGGTCTTCAGGGTGGCTTCTTCTGGAAGATTTTGCTGTTTTTTCGTGCATTTTTTCTGTTTGCGCATAGTCACTTTAAGATGTTTTTCTCGTTCGTGTTTTTGTTTTTTTTTGTTTGTTGCGGTTGCGCCCGATTCAAGAGCCGAACGGCTCGCAGGGCTGTACCAAAATAAATGAAACTGAAATGAAAAAAACTGAAACTGAGTGGACAACTCCCGGACGCGTTCGGGGGTCCGGCTCTTAGACACGGTCCCCAGCTCACTCCGAGGGACCTGGAGTGGGACGTCTTCCCCCAACCTCCCCTTCCTGGGGGTCTGGGGTCCGCACCCTTGGTCACGATGCTCCCTGGGGGTTACCTCGGCCCAACGGCCCGGCTTCATCTATCCGGCTTCAGCCTCTCTTCCGCCCCCCTGTTGACACAGGGCCGGTACTACCGGCTAAGAGAGTAGTGGCGATCAACGCATCGTGCCCAACAATGCCACGACAAGTACAAGGGTGGCAGCGGCACCGCGGTGCCACACCATTCGGGCATTCTCACAGCAGCGAGCGACGCGGGCGCCTCTATGTGGAGCTTGCGCAGTGTGTTCTGCTATAACGCCGTGCGTTTTTTTTTTTATCCACAAATAGGATTATGAACGTGTCGGGGAACGCATTTTTTGTAAGGCAGATGCGAATTGTGATATACGACTCGATCGAGCGAACAGAACTGCGTCGCAGCGCGAGTAGGAACAGGCGGTTGCAATACGGCTGCCTCGGTGTGGAATCATCACACCACGAGGCATTGGGATGCTGCTGGATGCTTCGAGATGCTACCCACACGTCTCAGTCTTTGTCCAGTCTACATACGCATCTCACGTGTTGCCACCGACTGTGCTTTGCCCCTATATTATTTATTATAAAGCGATTTTTCCATAACGCGGTGTCCTTCAGGGATGCAACTACTGCGTTATAGGAGAACCAGACCACATTGTCCCCCTGTTCTGCAGTGTGAGTGATGTTGGGGCCACCGCGGTGGCGAGATGTTAACTACCTCGCCTGGTATACAGGAGGTCGTTGGTTCGATCCTAACCCTGACGCCTGTATATGTGGAGTCTGCGTGTTCTCCCCGTGGTCGCGTGGATTTTTTCTCCGGGTCCTCCGGTTTTTCCCTCCACATTTAAAAAAGGTGTGTTTAGAGTATTCGGCTGCTATACATTAACACGTGATACGCCACTTCATTGAGCTATCGTTTGTGGCCAGGTCGCTTCTGAAAAAGAGCAATTTAGCTCGGTGGCGCCTTACCTGGTAAAATAAAAATTATTCAGTTTAGCTGAGAGTGAGCGCTAACTGTGTCCGTCCAGTGCTCGCCGAGCGGCATTGGCGCCCGGTTGCTGAACAAATCCATGACAAGGTCGTGCTCTCATTATACCGCAATACCTCGCCAATCTCGTGAAGCAGCATGAACCGCCATGCAAACTCCGGTGATCCTCACGGCAGCGGCTTTTGGCTAGCCGTCGAACAAAGACGGCCACTGCATCGCGCGCTTTCAGATGCCCTTTTGCGGCCCGCCTGGAACGCTCTTCCTTCTGATATATTAGGAAGCAAATGGAGCTATGCACTTTTAAATGATCATTTAGATTGTAAACTCATTTCTTAAGAATGTATTTTTGTGTTCTAGTTTGTTGTCCTTCCCCTGCACACTCCGATTAGTGCGGTCGGCTATGTACGGTGCAAAAGAAGTTGAGCATACATACATACTCTGAGTGAGTGAGTGCGATTGTGAGGGTGTGTGTGTGTGGAGCGGTGGTGCAACAGTTAGCGTGCTGCACTACGAACCTGGCCACCCAAGTTCGATTCCTGGTCACGGCCAACACTAGTGGCGATTATCTGAACTGGTCATGGGCCTCTGCTAGGTCGACTCAAATGAGTACCTAGTGCGATGTGTAAATGTCTCCACTGGGGAGACAAAGGCGGGTGGACGTGGTGCTGGCCACCGACCCGTTCGCGTAATGTCCCGGCCTTCACAGATGCTGCTCGCTAGCAGCACTTGCCCCAACAGTCTGTTTAGGCTATACGGGGGATCTCCGTCTCTGTAGTAGGAGTGAGTGGCGTTTGTATGCTCTTCCCCTGTTCTGTATTGGTTTCCTCCGGATGCTCCAATTTCCTCCCAAAGCTAAAAGAAAAAGACACCGCAACATATTCTTGTGTAATGACAGGGTGCCACCTGTCGGCCTGAAGGGGGAAATCGTGGTTATGGGCATGTTACGTAATGTCTAATTACGAGGGAGGCATATCTGAGGTAAAGGTGAAAGGCGGAGTCAGTCGGGAAGCTCTGGGAACCTGCTCGAAGGTTCTGGAAGGGGGCGTGGCCGGAGGCGGGGCTTGGTCACGCCAGAGGTTCGGTGCTGTTGCGGGTCCTAGTTCCTGGCTGCGTCGCCGCTCGCCGTCATCTCTCTACATCGTTCGGCAACGTGGCCGATCTTCTGCAAGGCTCTTGTGGTGCCACAGCAGTGAAGCCGCTCCGTCGGAGCCGTGCCTGCAACGCCACCACGGGAGAGCGTCCGGGCCGACGCTGCTTCTCCCTCACCACCCCCCAAATGAGCACACACAACACACAAACCCCCCACGTAGGACCTCGTGGGGAAGTCACCTGGCCTCCAGGTTTTCACCCAGGGGCCCTCTTCGTAGGGACATCCCCCCCGGTTTACTGGGGTCAGGGAATTGGCTGACTTCTCCCGGGTTGAATTACACCGCGGAGCCGTGAATTGACGTGCAATTGCATGGTCATGACAAGGCGACTCAGTCACCGCGGTTAGGTCCACACGAGCACCAGGGGAAGCATCCGATTGGCCGGAAAAGTACGCTTGCACGCCGTGGCCAATGGCAACGGCCCAACGGCGGCCCCGTTGATGGGTAGAGCGGGAAGCGGACGTCTGTGAAGGCACCGAGGCGGGTGCACCAATGGCGGTGTGGTATCGCGGGTTAGCTGGGCAGACCTTTGATGTAGAGAGAGATAAAATGGGAGAGGAGAGAGACGATGGGGTTTCGCGTTCTCCTCAAGCGAACGATCGGAGCAGTCAGCTTGCCGGCCACTGGGTCGTCCGTGTGACGAGTCTCAGCGAAGCCAGGCCCCGCTCCCCGCATGAACCTCGGGCAGCCTCGTCCCCCCGCGACGGCCCGTGCACCCGAGGCGAAACGCGAGTATGAAAGATAGTGTGGGGATTTAACCGTAAAAGCCTAGGGAGTTTCATTCCAAGGGGACGAGGTAGATCGGGTTTAGACCATCGGGAGATAGGTTAGACTTGCCCTGCTGACTCGGACTGACACGGGTAATAGTAGCTCGCAGACACGCCGGGAATAAATCGTCAGTGATCAATAAACCTTGTCGTGTGGTTTCTGCGAGTATGGAACGGGCGCATGGTGGTGCGAGTCCGCTCGTCGTGGTACGGGGATTTGCGCGCCCGACCGGGATTCCTGCATCGTTGTACCCTGTGTTTGCGCACGAGTGTGTATTTACCCACGTGTTTGCGCTCTCCCCTGCGTGTAACTCGTGGTTAGCGTGAGCGTGTGGCGAGGGGCGGCGGACCTGTACAGGGGCACGTGAGGTTACTCATGCGCCCTTGTGTTCAACGTGTGCGTGAGGTAGACGGGCGGCGTGCACGCGAGATTACCCATACGGCCTGTGTTAAGCGTGTGCCCGCGGTGAGCGACGGTGGACTCGCCTGGGTACACGTGGGATTATTCATACAGCCCTTTAAATAATCTCCGAGACAACCGCCCAATCGGCTACGTGTGTAAGAGTGACGTCCCTGCCCTCTGACCCCCGACCCCCCGTCCCGCGCGTGCGATTGGTGTGTCGCCCTAAGACCGACTCCGAATCCCCGCCCCGCAGCCCTTTAAACAATCTCCATTGCCCGCCCTCGGTGGCGACGCGTGTGCGAAGGACGTTATTGCCCTCTGACCCCTGACCCCCGGTTCAGCGCGTGCGAGGGGTGCGCGGGGTTGTGTGAATTGAAACGTCGCGTTTGAGTGGCTGATAAGCGACGGATTGACTCCAGGCAGCCGTGCGCCAGCCCCGAGCTATGCCCCCCAAACAGGACCCGCGGACCCGAGGGGCTGCGGCGCGAGGAGGGGAGCCGGGGAGCGGCAGCCCTCTCCTCACGAGCGAGGAGTTGGATAGTGGCGGCTCTCACACGAGCGAGCAGCCCGGAACCTGCAGCCCTCCCGAGATCAACCCTCCCCCGGAGGGGGAGCCGGGGGCCCGCGTCCCTCACTCTCATGGTCGCCGTCGCTGCGCTAGTCAGACAGCTGTGTAGTTGGACGCCGGCGATGGGGTTGTGTAGAAGGGTCGGCTATGTGTAGCTACGTAGAACGTTACATCGATGTATCGCCCAGTCTTGTGCTTAAAGTGTGAGAATAAATAAGAAGCCTTCTACGCGACGTGTCTCGGAAGTCGCTCACTACACATGTACGTTTAACTTCCTTCGCACCGTACTTGTAACTGGTATTGGCCACAAAAGCACTCCCAGTGCTGAAAAACTCACCTGCAAATTTTGAATTTGGATTACACAGAACAGCAGCAACATCTCCCCATTACTGTGAAAGAACTTGGCAGGGCTCTCCTGTAAATTACTCTTGAGGGTCAGTGAGGTTTCCCTGGGTAAACGAGCTGGATAATAATTATTATTCAGGGCGATTATAACCACCCTGGGTGATTGTGCCCGACTGTCAGATCTGGGAATTTTCATTTTTTTGTATTTTATTGAGCTATGTAGCTCTTGTTCAGAAGTGACCCTGGCCAACAACAAAGTGGCTCATCATCAGATGGAAATTTATAGGAGCAGCCAAATACTCTAAACACGTGATGTTGATTCTAAATGTTGAGTGAAAAACTGGCGGCCCCGGAGAAAAATCCACTCGACCACGAGGAGAACATGCAAACTCCAAATACACAGCAGGCATCAGGGTCGGGATCGAACCAACGACCTCTCGCATACCAGGCAAGGGAGATGACATCGCCACTGCGGAGCCTGCCTGCTCAGCGGGAAGCTGAGTGAGTAGATGTGAGCGAGTTGACCGTGTGACTGCTTCTCCATGTAATACCGCAACACAGCGTACCACACCACAGCACACCACACAGTAAAACACCACACTGCGTCTCACCTGCACCACACCGCACCATGCAGCACTACACCACACCACGTCTCACGCGTACCACACCGTACCACACCACACCGCACCACACCGCGTCTCACCCGCACCACACCACACCTCACCGCGTCTCACCCGTACCACACCACACCACACCACACCTCACCGCGTCTCACCCGTACCACACCACACCACACAGTGCCTCACCCGTACCACACTGCACCACACCGCGTCTCACCCGTACCACACCGCACCACACCGTGCCTCACCCGTACCACACCGCACCACACTGCGTCTCACCCACACCACACTGCGTCTCACCCACACCACACTGCGTCTCACCCGCACCACACCGCACCACACTTCGTCTCACCTGCACCACACCGTGCCTCACCCGTACCACACCGCACCACACCGCACCGCGTCTCACCCGCACCGCTGCCGCGCCGTCCTCGTCTCCGTTCCCACTCGTGTCTCCGCTGTCCACCTCGGCCACACTCCCCCCCGCCTGGCCCCCACCCCTCACCCCCAACCGGGAGCGGCCCTCCCAGCCCCTCCCCCTCCAGCAGCCGCCCCCCTCCCTCCGCACCAGGCCAAGTGCTGCACCCCTCCTCGCCGCCCCACATCCTTCCTCTCCTCCGACGGCTCCTCCTCGCTCTCCTCCCTCGCCTCCATCCTCCTCCTCCTCCTTCCTCTTGGCACCACCCAAACTCAGGACGTCGTTCCCTCTCTCGCGCTTCACTCTGCTGCTACTCCTCCGCCCCGCGTCACCCCTCTCCCGCTTCTTCTTCTTCTTCTTCCCCTCCCGGGCGCTGCCTCCCTCCTCTCCCATCCCAGCACCCGCAGCCAACAACCCTCGCTCGTCCTCTTTTTCACTTCCTCCACCACCTTCTCCTCCATCGCTCGCGGGCTCCTCCCGCCCTCGTCCCGGCTTCCCGCCGCCCCTGCCGGCCGCCCCTTCATCTCCCTCTCCTCCCCGCGGCCTCGCGCCGGCGTGGAGATCCGCCTCGGGCTCGCGGCGGCCCCTGTGCTCCGCCGGCCGCCCGCCCGCAACGCCCCGCGGCGGCTGCGGCTGCTGCCGCTCGGCCCTCTCTGGCGCCGCGCGATCCCCGTGGCGTTTGGAGGTGGAGTCGCTGCGCCCCACTCGGGCCCCCGGGGTCCCGTCCACCTCTCCCTGCCCTTGGCAGGCCCCGAGGGCCTCCGCCACGCGGGCCCTGAGAGATGCGCGCGAGAAACCTGGGGGAGGGGTGCCGTGTATTGCGTGCCGCCGGTGTTATGGTGCAAGCAAAAAAATGATTCGCCAAATTCGGGAAAAATAACATTGCAAAAGTACACAATTGGGCACCTCCAATTAGTACGCATGGCTACGTACAGCGCGAAAGATGTTCAACATACAGAGAAGCAATCATCGGGCCCCCTACTGACAAACTTATGCACACTTGCGGCCCGGGTGCTGAGTCACATTGTGCCATACAGCACCAGCTGCCACTGGGGGATACCCTTGCAGGCTACGTCTGTGAAACACAGCAGTGTCTACCGTCGTAATAAACGGATAGGGACAATTGTAATTGCGCGCCGTATTGACAGCGCACAGGTGATCCAATAGGAAAGCTCCGTGGTTACGACTCATAATTGGCTTCCTTTGGGTAAGATGACTGTGGAGGTCCGTCAATGTCTACTTCGAACCTTAACCCTCCCAAAGGCCCCACGAAGCCAACCAAATCAAGCTGCCAACATGGCCACGGGTGCCAATCCATTTGGGTTATCGGCAAAAAGTCCAAAGGATTGTTGAGACGGCAACATTTTGGCAGGTTAATATTTTGATTGCTTACTCTTTGGTTCTTTCGGCAAAGTCACGTAGGTATAAAATAAAATAAATCACGACGTTTTGGGCGCAACACAAGCGTCCGTCATCAGGTGGGAAAGCATGGTCTGCTGCGGAGGCAAACTGCTTTAAAAGGTTTGAAATGGGTGTAGCCCAAGGGTCGTAAAGAAGTGACCTGGGCTAGTGATGTTAATGTGAGAAATTAGCATGTAATTGTAAGATAACAGGAGAGCAGCCTCCTGGACGAGGGCACGGAAGTGGCTATGTTAATGTGAGAGATTAGCATGATGTTAATGTGAGAGAAATCTAAGAGAGAGGCATAGAGAGAGACACAGAGAGTCGGAAATGAGCAATCATTGGAAGGACGTTATTAACCAGGTAAAGTCTTAACTGACTGTGGTGTTTCCATCCTACCAGCCTATGTCAGCTGTTATTTCCAATGTTAACTAGCTCGCCTGGTATACAAGCCATATTTGGAGTTTGTATGTTTTCCCCATGGTCGAATGGATTTTTCTCCGGTTCTTCCAGTTTTTCCCGCCACATTCAGAATCAATATCACGTGTTCAGAGCATTTTGGCTGCAATAAATTTCCACGTGACGATGATAAGCCACTTCGTTGGGCAGTCATTTGTGATATGCAGGTCGCTTCTGAAAAAGTGCTGAATAGCTCAGTGGCCCTTACCTGGTAAATTTAAAAAAAAGTTTAATTTACTTGGTTTTAGTTTAGATCTTAGGGTCACGGTAGTTTAATCAGGGTAGTTTACGTAACTTATTAACTATAAGTAAAATATTACGTCCGAAACAAAAGGTATAAAACATTGCTATTATTATTATTTCCACATCGAGCTGCGCTTGCATCACAGCCACCGCGGAACCACCTGGAAGAACCGTCACAGCCCACCGGTGGTACCGGGTGACCACACCTTGAGAACCACCGCTCTAGATTATCGCTGTGATTACGGATTCCATTGGGACGTGGTGGTTCCAGCGGACCACACCTTGAGAACCACCACTCTAGATTATCGCTGTGATTACGGATTCCATTGGGACGTGGTGGTTCCAGGGGACCACACCTTGAGGACCACCGCTCTAGATTATCGCTGTGATTACAGATTCCATTGGGACATGATGGTTCCAGGGGACCACACCTTGAGGACCACCGCTCTAGATTATCGCTGTGATTACAGATTCCATTGGGACATGGTGGTTCCAGCGGACCACACCTTGAGAACCACCGCTCTAGATTATCGCTGTGATTACGAATTCCATTGGGACGTGGTGGTTCCAGCGGACCACACCTTGAGAACCACCGCTCTAGATTATCGCTGTGATTACAGATTCCATTGGGACGTGGTGGTTCCAGGGGACCACACCTTGAGGACCACCGCTCTAGATTATCGCTGTGATTACAGATTCGGATGGGACGTGCTGTTCCGTGCACCACACCCTGAGAACCAATGCAGTAGATTATCGTTGTAGTTACGAATTCTGATGGGACGTGGTGGTCTGTGCACCACACCTGCAGAACCACCGCACTAGATTATTGTTGTAGTACGGATTCCAATGAGATGTGGCGGTCCGGGTGACCACACCTTGAGGACCACCGCTTGAGATTATCATTGTGTTAAGGATTCCGATGGGACGTTGTGCGAGGTGGTGGAGGTAGGTGCACCTGTTGCCGGCATCTCGTCATGGCACTGCTTGCGGATGGCAGCGCGGATGAGCCGCCGCTCCTCGTAGGAGCTTGCAGACAGCAGCTGCCCGGGGGGGGGTGGGGGGGGGGAGGACCACACGGCCGTCAGTCAGGTCGGACAATCTCTTTGCATGTCAGAACCGCTACTACGAGGCCTGCACCAGCGTTACCTCTGGCCTCGCCCTGCCGAGGCATTATTCAGCACGCCCCCCCCCCCCCCCCCCCCGCCCTCAGTTGGCTAAGTAAGGTGCGAAAGAAGTTCAACACGCATGCATATATAGGGTGGCGGTAACTTGGGAAGGCCTTTGTCCAGGAGCGGACACACCATGGCCGATAACGACGAGCTTTATATGGGAGTGCAGTGGCGCCGCAGGGGTTAGCGCAACTGCGCTATGAACCCACGAACCGAGTTTGATGTATGAAACTCATTGGTGGGCTGATTGTTGCATGACCATGGTGGCGAAATGTTAACTACCTTGCCTGGTACACAGGAGGTCGTGGGGTTCAAACCCGACCCTGACACCTGCTGTATTTTTGGAGTTTTCTGTGTCTCTCTAACTGGTCGCGTTGATTTTTCTCCGGGCCCTACGGTTTTTCCCTCCATATTTCGAATCAACGTGCGTTTGGAGTGTTTGGCTACTATCAATTTACACGTGATGGTGAGCCACTTTTCGTTGAGCTATCATTTTGTGGCTTCTGAAAAACAGCGACTTGGCCCCTCAGTGGAGCCTTACCTGGCAAAATAAGTCTTTAAATCGTTTTAAAGTGAGAGGTGGCAACCGCTTGGGAAGGGAGGTCTATCGCCATAGCGGTGGGTCGATCGCGACATCAACGATGAGACTGTAGATCGATGGCGATGATAATGCAGATGCGCGTGCTGCGACTCGCTCTCCTGGAGTGACTCGAGTGCCAGGCAACATCTGCACAGCGACGTCCTCCTCCTCCTCCTCCTCCTCGTGCGCACCTGCGCCGCATCAATACTTAATGTGGCCATTGTCGGAGCGGGCATGGGTGTGTGAGACCGGCTCGCCCCTTCCATACCACCCCCTCTCCCCCCCCCCCCCCCCCCCCACCCACCATGTGTGCGTGTATGTAAGTACGTGGAACTTCTTTCGCACCGTACGTAACACAACCGTGATCATCGGAGGCACGGCGGGGGAAGGGGGGGGGGGGGGCGGAAGTTCAGCAAACTAACGCTCAGAGAAGCGGCTCTAAAAGAAATGGGTTTTCACTCTCGCTCAACACCTCAGCGCCCCGTGCACAGTGGAACGCCGCCGCTCCGCTTCCAACGCGGCGCCACTGACGGGTGGGGGGGGCCGACGACTCTCCCATCGATCGTTGCTCGACGCGACACGAGCGCGCGCCCCCGCTCCGCGAGAAGCGGCGCGCTCGCAAAATAATAATGTGCCGCTCGGCTTGCGTCCAAGCCAGGAAAGTCTCACCGGCAAGTGTCGCACGTACGCGTGTACGCCGGACTTCTTCCGCACCAGCGCGTAGCACAACCGCGCAAATCGGAGGCGTGGCAGGGGATGGGGGAAGCACAACAGACTAGCACACGAAAGGCGATTCTAAAGAAATGAGTTTCAATTTAATGTAGTTGCGTATTGTATAGCAGTGTAGTGCACATGGCATGCTGCAGTAGCGGCCACCCTCACAACGTCATTGGCAATCTCGCTTGCGTTTTAGCCAGGAGAGCCTCACCACCAAGTGTCGTACGTTTCACGAACGTTGCATGGGGCGCAACACATAGAGGCAAGCACTGCCACTATTACACCAGGGGGTTCTCTCATACAGGGCGTGTGACGTATGTTGAACTTCTTTCGCACCGTACGTAGTACAACCGCGCTAAATCAGAGGTGCGGGGGTGGGGTGGGGGGGAAGGACAACAAGCTAAACACACAAAGCAGAGGATCAAGACTCTGTTGCAGGAGGGTCGGTGCCGGTTACATTGTATGGGTATTTTTTTTTTAGCTATGGGGAGGAAACTGGGGAGGAAACTCATGCAGGACAGTGGGAGAAACGTATAAACTTAGACAGTCTCACATGCTCACACTGACACAATCGCACTCTGTAGAATAGTGGGAGAATGTACAAATGCCTCGAAGAAAGGCGCCCGAGTCAGCTGTTGCAGTAGGGAGCGATGTTGCTGTTGCTGCTGGGTCTAATCCCAATTAAGTTATTGCAGGCAATTTTTCAGCGTTGGAATGTTGTTTGGGCTAATATCAGTTGCATTTGGGGTTTTTTTAGCTATGGGAGGAGACCGGAGAACCCGGAGCAAACCCATGCAAAACAGAGAGAAAACATACAAACTCCACTCACTCAATCACACTCTGTAAAACAGGGGGAAACCATACAAACCCCACTCACTCACTCTGCAGAACAGGGGGAAACCATACAAACCCCACTCACTCACTCTGTAGAACAGGGGGAGACCATACAAACTCCACTCACTCACTAGACCATGGGGAGATCATACAAACTCCACTAACTCACTCTGTAGAAAAGGAGGTCATACAAACTCCACTCACTCTGTAGAACAGGGGGAGATCACACAAACTCTGCTCACTCACTCTGTAGACCAGGGGGAGATCACACAAACTCTGCTCACTCACTCTGTAGACCAGGGGGAGATCACACAAACTCCACTCACTCACTCTGCAGACCAGGGGGAGATCACACAAACTCTGCTCACTCACTCTGCAGACCAGGGGGAGATCATACAAACGCCACTCAATCACTCTGTAGAACAGGGGGAGATCACACAAACTCTGCTCACTCACTCTGTAGACCAGGGGGAGATCACACAAACTCCACTCACTCACTCTGTAGACCAGGGGGAGATCATACAAACTCTGCTCACTCACTCTGCAGACCAGGGGGAGATCATACAAACTCCACTCACTCACTCTGTAGAACAGGGGGAGATCACACAAACTCTGCTCACTCACTCTGCAGACCAGGGGGAGATCATACAAACGCCACTCAATCACTCTGTAGACCAGGGGGAGATCATACAAACTCCACTCACTCACTCTGCAGACCAGGGGGAGATCATACAAACTCCACTCACTCACTCTGTAGAACAGGGGGAGATCACACAAACTCCACTCACTCACTCTGCAGACCAGGGTGAGATCATACAAACGCCACTCAATCACTCTAACTATGCAGACTGGCGTGGGTGACCGGCATGGGTGTCCGACTCCTGAGTGACCGGCTCCGGGATGACCTCGGTGGGTGGGGGTGAGAGTTGGTGAGCCAACTCACCAGGGTGGTGAGCTTCAGCAGATCCTTCTCGCACTCGAGCCTCTCCCCGAGCGGCAAACATCCGTCCCCTTCCTGCCCACTCACCCGCATCCTGGCCCGGCGACACAAAGACAAAGATCCCCCATGTGGACAGGACAAGACTGTTGGGGAAAGTGCTGTTAAGCGAGCTAAACTAAAAACTCAACAATTTTTTTTTTATTTTACCAGGTAAGACCCACCGAGCTACGTAGCTCATTTTCAGAAGCGACCTGGCGACAAATGACAGCTCAACAAAGTAGCTTATCGTCATCACGTGGGAATTCAGAGACGCCAAATACTCTAAACACGTGACGTTGATTCTGAACGTGGAGAAAAATCCACGCGACCGCGGGGAGAGAAAAACACCGCAAACTCCAAATATACAGCAGGCGTCAGAGTTGGGATCGAACCAACGACCTCCTGTATACCAAGCGAGGTAGTTAACATCTCATAGCCACTACGGCGCCCCTTGAACGCCAGAATAGCATAATAAGGGGGTGGTGTGGCAAGCACCATCCCCGGGCCGAGTTGACCTCGGGGAGACCCAGGACTGGCTCGGATATCACTCGCCACCGATGTCAGCCGTGGCTGGGAATCAAGTACGCCGACCGCTGCGCCATCACTCGTCACATATAGAGATTAAGACCCCCCCGTATAGCCTTAACAGACTGTTGGGGCAAGTGCTGTTAGCGAGCGCCTTTGAAGGGCGGCACGGCACACCAGGGGGTGGGGTGGCCAGCGCAACGCCCGGCCGCCTTTGTCTCCCCAGTGGCGATGTTTATACACACTGCACCAGGTACTCCTTAGAGGCTGAGTCGACCTAGGGGAGGCCCAGGACCGGTTCAGATAATCGTCACTGGTGTTGGCCATGAGCGGCAATCGAACTAATTTCACAGGGTTCGAAGCACAGCGCACTGACCGCTACACCATGCAGAACAGGGAGAGAACACACAAACGCCACACAGAAAGGTATCCGGAGTTGGGAATCTAACCCCGGCCCTTCGTGCTGCGAGACCAAAGTGTAACCACTGCACTGCAAATCTGCTGCCCAGCATGCAAACACAGCAGGTGAACGGAACTGACGACTCGACTGATGAACATTACATTAAAGAGTGAACGAGAAGATGAAGAGATAAATCCATCAACACATGAACAAGTGGACGAACACACGTAGGCAAACAGACGGACGAATGGGCCGACGAACGCATGGATCAAACGGACAGACCGAAAGGACAAATGTGCAGATGGGCGGACGAACGAACGGGCTGACGACTCGATGGACTAACGGACGTGAGGACGGAGGCAGGCTTGCCGGAGGCCACGTACCTCTCCGTCCGCCGCGGGTACACCGACTGCAGTGCCGTCGCGACACCGGCGCACAGAGCTCCCTCCCCCCTACCCCTCCCTCCTCCCCCTGCCCCATTCACCACCATGCAGCACGCAGCAACACTGGGGGGCGGGGGTCGATGGCAGGCACAGGTGTTCTCCACACCACCCCCCTCACCCCTCCTCACCACGCTCACCCCTCCCCAGGGATTGTGTCGACCCGTGCAGCTCGCTCCCCACTCACCACAACCCTTAAACAACACACAATCTCACACCCAGCGCAGGGGGCGGGAGGAGCCTCCCTCTTCCTCACCCAGGGTCGCACGTCCTTGGACTCTCACACTCCTTGGACTCTCACACTTGGTGGTCACAGTCACACAGGATTTATATTATGAGACCTCCTTAGCCAGTAACAAGATATGGTAATAGGTTTTACCCTTTTAATTGGCACAAAAACTGACACCTTTATTCAAGGCATCATGTTTGCAATAACCACAACACAAGCAGTCAAAATGCAAACAAAAGAGTCAAAATGCAAACAAAAGAGACTCTTTTGTTTGCATTTTGACTGCTTGTGTTGTGGTTATTGCAAACATGATACCTTGAATAAAGGTGTCAGTTTTGTGCCAGTTAAAAGGGTAAAACCTATTACTGTAAGTCACACAGGACTCTCACACTCAGCCTTGGTGGTGACCAAGTCACACAGGACCCTCACACTCAGCCTTGGTAGTGACCAAGTCACACAGGACTCTCACACTCAGCCTTGGTGGTGACCAAGTCACACAGGACTCTCACACTCAGCCTTGGTAGTGACCAAGTCACACACGACTCTCACACTCAGCCTTGGTAGTAACCAAGTCACACAGGACTCTCACACTCAGCCTTGGTGGTGACCAAGTCACACACGACTCTCACACTCAGCCTTGATGGTGACCAAGTCACACAGGACTCTCACACTCAGCCTTGGTGGCGACCAAGTCACACAGGACTCTCACACTCAGCCTTGATGGTGACCAAGTCACACAGGACTCTCACACTCAGCCTTGGTGGTGACCAAGTCACACAGGACTCTCACACTCAGCCTTGGTAGTGACCAAGTCACACACGACTCTCACACTCAGCCTTGGTAGTAACCAAGTCACACAGGACTCTCACACTCAGCCTTGGTGGTGACCAAGTCACACACGACTCTCACACTCAGCCTTGATGGTGACCAAGTCACACAGGACTCTCACACTCAGCCTTGGTAGTGACCAAGTCACACAGGACTCTCACACTCAGCCTTGGTGGTGACCAAGTCACACACGACTCTCACACTCAGCCTTGGTAGTAACCAAGTCACACAGGATTCTCACACTCAGCCTTGGTGGTGACCAAGTCACACACGACTCTCACACTCAGCCTTGATGGTGACCAAGTCACACAGGACTCTCACACTCAGCCTTGGTAGTGACCAAGTCACACAGGTCTCTCACACTCAGCCTTGGTGGTGACCAAGTCACACAGGACTCTCACACTTAGCCTTGATGGTGACCAAGTCACACACGACTCTCACACTCAGCCTTGGTGGCGACCAAGTCACACACGACTCTCACACTCAGTCTTGGTAGTGACCAAGTCACACAGGACTCTCTCACTCAGCCTTGGTGGTGACCAAGTCACACAGGACTCTCACACTCAGCCTTGGTGGTGACCAAGTCACACAGGACTCTCACACTCAGCCTTGGTGGTGACCAAGTCACACACGACTCTCACACTCAGCCTTGGTGGTGACCAAGTCACACACGACTCTCACACTCAGCCTTGATGGTGACCAAGTCACACAGGACTCTCACACTCAGCCTTGGTGGTGACCAAGTCACACACGACTCACACTTAGCCTTGGTGGTGACCAAGTCACACACGACTCTCACACTCAGCCTTGGTGGTGACCAAGTCACACAGGACTCTCACACTCAGCCTTGGTGGTGACCAAGTCACACACGACTCTCACACTCAGCCTTGATGGTGACCAAGTCACACACGACTCTCACACTCAGCCTTGGTGGTGACCAAGTCACACAGGACTCTCACACTCAGCCTTGGTGGTGACCAAGTCACACACGACTCTCACACTCAGCCTTGATGGTGACCAAGTCACACAGGACTCTCACACTCAGCCTTGGTGGTGACCAAGTCACACACGACTCTCACACTCAGCCTTGATGGTGACCAAGTCACACAGGACTCTCACACTCAGCCTTGGTGGTGACCAAGTCACACAGGACTCTCACACTCAGCCTTGGTGGTGACCAAGTCACACACGACTCTCACACTCAGCCTTGATGGTGACCAAGTCACACAGGACTCTCACATTGAGCCTTGGTGGTGACCAAGTCACACACGACCCTCACACTCAGCCTTGATGGTGACCAAGTCACACAGGACTCTCACACTCAGCCTTGGTGGTGACCAAGTCACACACGACCCTCACACTCAGCCTTGATGGTGACCAAGTCACACAGGACTCTCACACTCAGCCTTGGTGGTAACCAAGTCACACAGGACTCTCACACTCAGCCTTGGTGGTGACCAAGTCACACAGGACTCTCACACTCAGCCTTGGTGGTGACCAAGTCACACAGGACTCTCACACTCAGCCTTGGTAGTGACCAAGTCACACAGGACTCTCACACTCAGCCTTGGTGGTGACCAAGTCACACAGGACTCTCACACTCAGCCTTGGTAGTGACCAAGTCACACAGGACTCTCACACTCAGCCTTGGTGGTGACCAAGTCACACACGACTCTCACACTCAGCCTTGGTGGTGACCAAGTCACACAGGACTCTCACACTCAGCCTTAGTGGTGACCAAGTCACACACGACTCTCACACTCAGCCTTGGTAGTGACCAAGTCACACAGGACTCTCACACTCAGCCTTGATGGTGACCAAGTCACACAGGACGCTCACACTCAGCCTTGGTAGTGACCAAGTCACACAGGTCTCTCACACTCAGCCTTGGTGGTGACCAAGTCACACAGGACTCTCACACTTAGCCTTGATGGTGACCAAGTCACACACGACTCTCACACTCAGCCTTGGTGGCGACCAAGTCACACACGACTCTCACACTCAGTCTTGGTAGTGACCAAGTCACACAGGACTCTCTCACTCAGCCTTGGTGGTGACCAAGTCACACAGGACTCTCACACTCAGCCTTGGTGGTGACCAAGTCACACAGGACTCTCACACTCAGCCTTGGTGGTGACCAAGTCACACACGACTCTCACACTCAGCCTTGGTGGTGACCAAGTCACACACGACTCTCACACTCAGCCTTGATGGTGACCAAGTCACACAGGACTCTCACACTCAGCCTTGGTGGTGACCAAGTCACACACGACTCACACTTAGCCTTGGTGGTGACCAAGTCACACACGACTCTCACACTCAGCCTTGATGGTGACCAAGTCACACACGACTCTCACACTCAGCCTTGATGGTGACCAAGTCACACACGACTCTCACACTCAGCCTTGGTGGTGACCAAGTCACACAGGACTCTCACACTCAGCCTTGGTGGTGACCAAGTCACACACGACTCTCACACTCAGCCTTGATGGTGACCAAGTCACACAGGACTCTCACACTCAGCCTTGGTGGTGACCAAGTCACACACGACCCTCACACTCAGCCTTGATGGTGACCAAGTCACACAGGACTCTCACACTCAGCCTTGGTGGTGACCAAGTCACACAGGACTCTCACACTCAGCCTTGGTGGTGACCAAGTCACACACGACTCTCACACTCAGCCTTGATGGTGACCAAGTCACACAGGACTCTCACATTGAGCCTTGGTGGTGACCAAGTCACACACGACCCTCACACTCAGCCTTGATGGTGACCAAGTCACACAGGACTCTCACACTCAGCCTTGGTGGTGACCAAGTCACACACGACCCTCACACTCAGCCTTGATGGTGACCAAGTCACACAGGACTCTCACACTCAGCCTTGGTGGTAACCAAGTCACACAGGACTCTCACACTCAGCCTTGGTGGTGACCAAGTCACACAGGACTCTCACACTCAGCCTTGGTGGTGACCAAGTCACACAGGACTCTCACACTCAGCCTTGGTAGTGACCAAGTCACACAGGACTCTCACACTCAGCCTTGGTGGTGACCAAGTCACACAGGACTCTCACACTCAGCCTTGGTAGTGACCAAGTCACACAGGACTCTCACACTCAGCCTTGGTGGTGACCAAGTCACACACGACTCTCACACTCAGCCTTGGTGGTGACCAAGTCACACAGGACTCTCACACTCAGCCTTAGTGGTGACCAAGTCACACACGACTCTCACACTCAGCCTTGGTAGTGACCAAGTCACACAGGACTCTCACACTTAGCCTTGGTGGTGACCAAGTCACACACGACTCTCACACTCAGCCTTGGTGGTGACCAAGTCACACACGACTCTCACACTCAGCCTTGGTAGTGACCAAGTCACACAGGACTCTCACACTCAGCCTTAGTGGTGACCAAGTCACACACGACTCTCACACTCAGCCTTAATGGTGACCAAGTCACACAGGACTCTCACACTCAGCCTTGATGGTGACCAAGTCACACACGACTCTCACACTCAGCCTTGGTAGTGACCAAGTCACACAGGACTCTCACACTTAGCCTTGATGGTGACCAAGTCACACACGACTCTCTCACTCAGCCTTGGTGGTGACCAAGTCACACACGACTCTCACACTCAGCCTTGGTAGTAACCAAGTCACACAGGACTCTCACACTCAGCCTTGGTGGTGACCAAGTCACACAGGACTCTCACACTCAGCCTTGGTGGTGACCAAGTCACACACGACTCTCACACTCAGCCTTGATGGTGACCAAGTCACACACGACTCTCACACTCAGCCTTGGTGGTGACCAAGTCACACAGGACTCTCACACTCAGCCTTGGTAGTGACCAAGTCACACAGGACTCTCACACTCAGCCTTGGTGGTGACCAAGTCACACAGGACTCTCACACTCAGCCTTGGTGGTGACCAAGTCACACACGACTCTCACACTCAGCCTTGGTGGTGACCAAGTCACACACGACTCTCACACTCAGCCTTGGTGGTGACCAAGACACACACGACTCTCACACTCAGCCTTGGTAGTGACCAAGTCACACAGGACTCTCACACTCAGCCCTGATGGTGATCAAGTCACACAGGACTCTCACACTCAGCCTTGGTAGTGACCAAGTCACACAGGACTCTCACACTCAGCCCTGATGGTGACCAAGTCACACAGGACTCTCACACTCAGCCTTGGTAGTGACCAAGACACACAGGACTCTCACACTCAGCCTTGGTGGTGACCAAGTCACACACGACTCTCACACTCAGCCTTGGTGGTGACCAAGTCACACACGACTCTCACACTCAGCCTTGGTGGTGACCAAGTCACACACGACTCTCACACTCAGCCTTGGTAGTAACCAAGTCACACACGACTCTCACACTCAGCCTTGGTGGTAACCGGGTCACAACATTTACAATTCGAGTACTCCAATTGTAGATGTTGCAATGGGTTTACTCTCCAACACAACGGTGTGCTGAACTAGTAGCGAATTGGCAGGTTTTGTTTACGTGACAAACCTTACTATACGGCTGTGTCGGGTGGTGACAAGTTTAACTAAACATTTATATTTTCGGGCTCTAACTAACAAACCTCTTTCATGGATATTTTTGTTTTACCAGGTAAGGCCCACTGAGCTATGTAGCTCTTTTTCAGAAGCAAACCTGGCTATCACAAATTACAGCTCAACAAAGTGGCTTATCGTGTGGGAATGCATAGCAACAGCCAAATACTCTAAAACGCGTGACGTTGATTCTAAATGTGGAGGGAAAACCGGAGGGACCCGGAGAAAAATCCCTGCGACCACGCGGAAAGAGAGACACGCAAACTCCACATATACAGGAAGCGTCAGGAACAGGATCGAACCCACGGTCTCCTGTATACCAGGCGAGGTAGTTAACATTTTGCCACCGGGGCACTCACGCTGCAGAGCAGGGGGAGAACATGCAAACTCCATGTAGAGAGGCGCCAAAGTTGGGAATTCAATCCAAGCACCACTTGCTGTGAGGCACAAGTGTTACTACTGTGCTACCCTACCACAGATATGTGAAACACCAACCATTCTATATTTATTTTCCCTTTCAGGGTCAGCATTACTGAGGAATGCGATCGTGAGCCACTGTCAATCCAGTCTCATGGAGACAGCGCGAGAGACACATTTGCAGTTAGACTCAGCTCTCCCTTGGCGAGGGCGAAAACCTGCTGGTCTCTCTGGACTCTCTCTCTCTTGGTGATAAACTCGGGGTGGGATAGTGGTGGTGGCGAGCCTACGGCCTACGGCTTCACGTTGAACGGCCCGCGGAAAACATGCGAGGCCGGTCACCACATTGCAGCGTCCCTGCAAACGATCATGATCCATCACTGCACGCAGCATCTTCAGCCGCACTAATCAGCCACTAAAAGGGGTGAATATATACACGGAAACACTCGATGTCGAAACGCTGCTGTGACTCGTCAGGGTTAGTTATAGGGTTAGTTAGGGTTAAGGGTTAGGTTAGTATAAATGTTGGGGTTAGGTTAAGGCCATTATTTTTTCACATTCAAGAGAGGACTCCCATTTAGGCACACAGAACTTCGAAGTTGAATACGGCTGAGAAGTGCCCTAAGTGTCATCGCATAGAAACAAATGGGGCCTGGTTGTGCAGGCTTCCACTATGTAAACGTATTCTTTAATAACTCCAAAATTCAACATCGCTGTGTTTACAATCATATCGCGCGCGCCAGTCTTTCAAGTAGTTCTGAGCCAAAGGTCGTGATAAATCACACACAAAGTGCTTTGCACAAATTAACCGCAATACCTCGCTGAGCTCTTCAAGGAGCACAAACCATCACGCGAACCCCGGTCATCCTCAAAGCGGCTTTTGGCTAGCCGTCGGACAAAGACGGTCACCGCATCGCGCGCTTTCCAGATGCGCTCCTGCTAGCGTCTGCATCGCTCTTCCTTCCGATTGAAAACGAATTTCTTTAGAACTGCTTTTTCCGTTCAGTTTGTTGTCCTTCCTCCGTACGTCCGATTAGCAGGGTTGGTTATGTGCGGTGCCGAAGGGCGATCCGGACATCCGCAGAAGCGCATCTGAAATCGGCGTCAAGGTATAGTGCTTCATTTGTGGCAAGTCCTATTTGTCCATCAGCAAGGGGCAGGAATTACCAGCCGCCACGTGACAAGACACGGCTCTCATTCGTCCGTCCACCACGGACGCACGGGGAACTCGCGAGCCAAAAGAAAAATCACCTGCTGTCGTTTTCCTTGTTTTCCGGACGGAATCTCTTGGCCTCACAATACGGCATGTCCTCCATTTCTGCTGCACGCACACACACGGGCAATACGGGATGTTACAAACAGGGGGAGAACATACACACTCACACATTCACTCTGCAGGGCAGGGGGAGAACACTCAAACTCTCACTCGCACACTCACTCTGCAGAGCAGGGGGGGAACATACAAACTCCCACTCACACACTCACTCTGAAACTCAAAAGATCCTCCACGTAGCCTTCAGCAAAGTGTCAGGGAAAGTGCAACATACCCGGCCACCTTTGTCTCCCCAGTGGTAATGTTTACACACCGCACCAGTACTCACTGAAGGCTGAAAAAACCTAGGGGAGGCCAATGACCGGTTCAAATATTCGTCACTTTGTTATTGGTCGTGAACAGGAATAGATCTTGGGTCGCCGGGTTTGTCACGCAGGGCACTAACCACTGTGCCACCGCTCCACACACTAACCACTGCATAGACATACAAAGATCCCCCATATAGCCTTGTAACAGACTGTTTGGACAAGTTATGTTAGAGAGTATCTAGCAAGGCCAGCACAGAACACAAGAGGTTGGGTGGCCAACACCACGTCCAGCCTCCTTTGTCTCCCCAGTGATGACGTTTACACACCACAACAGGTACTCATTTGATGCCAAGTCGAACTAGAGGAAGCGTAGAACCGGTTCAGGTAATGAGGCACTGTGGCGGCGAGATGTCATCTCCCTCGCCTGGTATTTCAGGAGGCCGTGGGTTTGATCGCGATCCTGACACCTATATATTTGGAGTTTGCATGTTCTCCCGGTGTTCGCATGGATTTTTCTCCGAGTCCACCACTTTTTCCCTCCACATTTAGAAACATGCGTTTAGAGTAATTGGCTACTATGGATTTCCACGTGATAAGCCACTTCGTTGAGCTATCGTTTGTGGCCAAGTTGCTTCTGAAAAAGAGCTAAATAGCTCGGTGGGCCTTATCTGGTAAAATAAAACGTTTAGTTTAGTTTTAGACAATCCATCACTGGTGTTGGCCATGAGCGGGAATAGAACTCGGGTCGCCGGACTCGTAGCGCAGACAATAGTGTTACACACACATACGTAAAGACAAAGATCCCCGCCCCTGCATAGGTAGCTATTATTCAAGCTGTTGGAGAAAGTGCTGCTAGCAACAAGCACGCCACCATCTCCCTCAGTGTGCTCGCACAGCGCACGAGAGAGGGTGGTGCGGCGAGCACCGAGTCTGGCCGGCAGTGCCAGTGTTTGAGACAGCGCACTGATGAGGCTGATGTGAAGGTACGGGAGGGCTTGCTGTTGGCAGGGGCTCATGAGACAGACCCAGGTGCTAATTGGTTAAATACAGTACACCTGTTTTCTCCCCCCATTATACATCCCACTGCCATGGCACTTTGGTCTGTCCCGTGACCTCCTGCCGGCGGGCGTTCGACATTCCACGCGACCTTAACGTGCACATAGCCTGGCACAAGTGCCGCGGTGACGTCACCGCCACTTAGTGGCGAATGTGGTTGCAATTGGACACTCTACATATCTAGTGTATTTTGAATGCAAGAGAAAAAAATCTCCCCCGCGAAGCCTACGGCAGGCTGTTGGGAAAGTGCTGTTCGCAAGCACATATTAAGGCCGGCATGGCACATAAGGGGAACGGTGTGGCCAGAACCACGCGTGGCTGCCTTGCTATCTCCCCCAGTGTTGAACTTCACGCACCACACCGGGTGCTCATGCAAGGCTGGTTTGGTGGTCATAGCTCAGTCACACACAGGAGAAATTGTGTTGTCCACTTGTGCATTAGGTATCCACGTCTTCCTTTGTTTAGTAGTGCCGTGAATTCACGCGGACGACAACCGTCTCTTTTTCCGCCGTCACTTTTATTCCATCGTTCCGTACACACAGTAATTCTCTCCATGCTCCGCCAACTCGGACACTCCGATTTACTTAAGCATCGTCCGTGCATCCCCTTCCACATAGTGTTCCTTCCTCTATCTCTACACACACAGTGTCTTCCCTTCCACACACAGTGGTTCGTCTTCTATCTCCTCACACACAGTATCGCCGCTATCTCTTCACACGCAGTGACTTTCCTTCCACACACAGTGGTTCGTCTTCTATCTCCTCACACACACAGTATCGCCGCTATCTCTTCACACGCAGTGACTTCCCTTCCACACATAGTAGTTCTTCTTCTATCTATTCACGCACAGTATCCTGTCTGTCTATTCACACACAGTGACTCCATCTATCTATTCACACACAGTGACTCCATCTATCTCCGCTAACGCTGACTCTCCCTATCACTATTTACTGTCTTTGGGGTCCGGCTCTCTATCTATTGTTCCCTAACATTTCCAGCTGTCTTCTTCGTATCTCTTCACCTCTCGCCAACAACTGCCCAGCAACAACTCTCCAACAACAACTCCCCAGCAGCAACTGCCCTCCGTTCAAACCACCTCACGTTTTATCCCCTTTCGCATTAGCCCTAATTAATTGCCACGTGGCTTGCTGGCCGTTTTCCGCCAGCTGGCACCTGTCCCCTCCATCAGACATCCAGACGCCACCACTTAACACTAACAGCCTCTCGACCAATCACAGCCCTCGTGCCACGACTCCCTTAATTACTTCGGGTTGTTTACGCCACCCGCGACTCGACCACCTGTTCGACCTCATGTGACCCGTTCTCCTTGTCTGTCTGTATGTACTGTATATGGCCAATTCCTATGCGTATTGTTTACTCCACTACATCACCCCCTCCCCGTGATGAAAGAACCTAGCCGTACCCGGCTACGATATACTCCAATTGGAGTAGTGGAGTGAAGCGGACGGAACGATGACAACATATATACATAACGCATTTGCAATATACAACCATTTTGTACAATCACGCAACGACACGCACACAACACCTTTATACAGAATTCCCAACCCCCAAAGTCAATGTATTGTATTCCTCCTGGAACGGGTTCCCGCTGCCGGCCCATCTCCCCTGCACGGGATACCCTGCGGTAAGGGAGGGCCTCGCCCGTCTCGCCAACGAGGGGCGCTCCTGGGCTCCACCCTGCGCCCATCCCTGTCCCAGCGACACTCAGCTGGCGGGGCTGTCCGTCGTTCACGGTCGAGACGGCCATTGGTCCGGATCTGTGGCCGTTCAATCGGCGTCCGGTCGGTAACCCTGCCCAAAAAGGGCGATCCTGCAGGCACACGGGGGGCAGATCTCTGGGACACGCGCACTTGTGACCTCCCCACAGGTTCGTCGGACACATCCAATACAGGCCGCTCTCGGATGGGGGATGACGCATCATATGGTAACACAAATTACTTCAAGCGCGACGGGTGAATAAAACCATGTCCGACGACCGAATTTTATTCGCACACTCTGATCCCGTAAAACCTCCACAATATCAACGGGCCCCTGCCAGGGGCGATCCCATCACGTTTTTTTTAACGAGGACAATAGGGGCTCCCCACGGGCTGGAGGATGGGGCGATAATATCCTGCTCTAGCATTTTATCAACAGATCGCCGAATACATTATTTCTCAAGAGGACCTACATGATGCGAATTTAACCTGATCGGGGGTGCATTCCCCATGTCAATACGATGCTGCAACAGCGTCGTTCGACCCACGTCGTATTTCCCTGAACTGAACACATCCTTAAATTCCACTAGCAACGCATGCAAACTCCACCGTTGCACAGGTGATAACTCTGGGTTTTGTTTGTAAAGATCCCTTAACCATTCCGGATCGTCCTCCTCCCTTGACAACATTTCATCCTGCCCCGTAGCAAAACATGTTTTTGTTTCTGGACCCGGCGCACCCGTTGCGTGCGCCAACGTAGTGCCCCCTTGAATAACAACCTCTTCGTGCCCCGCGTTTACAATTTGAATGAAGGGATCGCAATAAGTTGGTATTATGGTCAAAGCTCCTACCACGGTGGGCATTCTCGACACAGCATTTGAGGGTGTCAACAGCACTCCCTCCTGTAGCTCATCCCAAGGCAATTCCTTCTTTAACCGTAGCGGTACCAATATTTGCGATGCAGGCGGGACGCGCACGGTGCGGCTCACCACGGCCTGCACCACAGCGTTCGCCACCGCAAATTTCGAAGGCGTCCCAAAAAATTTCATACATTTCCCCGATGGTAATGCCAAACAACCTTTTCCCACTGAAATCTTAATTGGCATCTTTTGCAAAAAATCCGTGCCCAACAAACACGGTACCGCCAAGGCCGTTGAAACCAAAACACTTCCTGTCACAATAACCTCCCCAATTTGAATTGTCGCAACAACGCAGCCTATAATGCCCAACTACCCCCGTTTGCCTCTACACATGGCCCTTCCACTGGCGCTAACGATCTAAGCGACATCGGCAGCGACCGAAAAGTTTGCAACGAAATGAGAGTTGCCGAGGCCCCGGTATCCACAATAACCCGTACCATAACACCTTGAATACATGCCATCACATCCGACGATCCCGGCGCGGCCCCCAACACACGATGTACCAACGCGCCCCACATATCCCGGCCATGCGTACTATCCGAACCCGATGAATACGGTTGAGATGACGCGGATGAGTGATGTGGATAGGGCGGCCGTGTATTGAATGCATCTCGACTCACCCGGGATCCTTGGTCTTGGGGGAACCGCCCGCCGTAGTGGTTCGGCGCCCACGGAGAACCACCTCTTCGTCTCCAGCAGTCGCGGGCGAGATGACCCCTCCACCCGCACTCGTAGCATGTCCGATGCACGCCGTCTCCATATGCCCCGGGACGACGCCGTCGGTCTCCGGTCGACACCCCAGCCGCCGCTGCCATCGGCGGCGCCTCGTCCACCACCACCGTGCTCGCAGCCCCGGCAGGGGTCGTCAGCGACGGCTGCGCTACCGCCGCCGCTGGTTCATCTCGTATATCAAGGTTGACCTGTATGTTCCTGGCGATCAGCAACGATGACACGTCATCGTCATCATCCTTGTCCGGGAGCGACAAGACGACTTTCAGTTCCTTCGCCAGCTGTAGCATCTTCTCTTGCAGCAGGGAGTCCCA